TGTGAGAGTGAATCAATCTGAAGGAATGTTACACAACACACATCAGCCCTCTACTAAACATAACAAAAATAATATATTATATTACTATTTATTTCATAATGCGTGCCGTCAGTTCTTACCGTAAGTTCTGTCTGAATATGTTGATCCTCTTGGTCTTCTCGACCTCGGAGGCGTACTGCTTGTTGTGTTTGTTAACGAACCGGTCGAACTCGTGATGGACGTGCTCGTCGCTGGCGGGGTGAACGAACTCCATCATGGGGTTGAAGGTGGCCACGTGGCGAGAACCCGGACCCGGGAACGACGAACACTTGAAGCCTGCTCACACGAGACAAACAAACATCAAACACACACACACACACTACACGCAGCAGCTGTTACACTCACTGGGATCTACATTGAAGACGTCCGCCTCGATGTCGCTGTTGTCAAAGTCCGTGTAGTCCAAGTAATAGTGGTCGTAGTGTGAGCCCAGCAGAGAGTTGAAACCCTTCATCTCGTACCTTGACACAGTTATAAATATTAAACACTCGCTTGTAACTAATACTTATTTTATATTAGTTTTTTGTGGACACGGAGAGATCGTACACTAGCTCTGTTCCTTTCACTCTCATAGAGGATCTATGAAAAGAATATATTAATCCTGGTGACCCTAACAAGGTTAATGGGAAATTGTAAACGAATTATTGCATTGTCATTGGTCCTTGAGACATATGCAAAGTTTCAAGTTAATCAGATGTTTAGAAACCGGTGAAAATCGTGCTCAAAGATTCCGTTACATACATACATACAGCCCAAGCTAAAATAAGCGTGTTGAAAAGAAAAAGGAAGGTGGAGTGTTACTGGTTACTGACACATTCACTGATATGTGACTCTACATGTGACCCTCACCTGACCGGTATAGCGATGTTGTCTCCCCTCAGACTTTTCCTGTACTTGACCCACATGGTGTATTTGTTGACCTTATCCCCTACAGAGGTCACCATGCGCCACTTGAACGTGTCCGAATCTTTCATAGTCTCTGTTCCTACAGTAACAATATGTTATAATATACAACACTATAGCAAGTTGGTCATTTATAATATTGCTGGTACATTCTCATTGTGTTACCTACAAACTTGAAGTCTGTCATGTCAGGGAGTACAGTCTGAATGTTAATACTCTCTCCCTCGGTACCATTCACCTGAAGGCAGGTCTCCTGGTTCAACACATGCTCGGTGGTCACCGGAGCTATCTGTAGTATACTTAACATTTATACAACTTGTCCTACATACAAACTCACTGAATTGAACTTAATATTAAAGACATTAGAGGTGATCCTCAGTTCATTAACTATTGAAATATAAAAATTTATATTGGTCAGACATAAGAGTAAACATTTTTAAAAGATAGTTGAATAAAACTACACTCTGAATGTACCTTAATGGATGTCCCATACTGAGGGTAGACGGAGGCTGATAACTGGTAGGTCTTCACCATAGTACCGTAGTAGTCAATACGAGACTTGCCATTCTTACTGTCAAACCTTCACACACACAAATATGATAGAACTATAGTATGACTCGTAAAATACAGAAAAATAATTAATATTATCAAGACGGTGAGTCTACAAGACTTGTAGAATGTTTTTCAAGTTCCTCTCATTACTTGTAAAAATCATTTTGATGTTTAATATGAAAACACTTTTTCAAGTTTAACATTTTCTAATCTAACCTTTCTTTATGTATAGTTCATAGTTGATATTTAATGTTTTGTAATCATCTTTGTGTGAAATTAATTTTTACAGTTAACATCTGTCTACATACATATGTATAAAAGATTAACTAAATAGGATGTATTGTGATCTACTCTCATATAAAATTACAAAATATAAAAGAATGTAAATTTTAAATCCTTTGTAAAGTAACAAAGCTAATTCAATGAGCACTATCAACATGACCCTTGACAGAGTTCAGATAATAAACTCAAGTAAAGCACAATTCTTATCACATACAAATAGTTCATAAAACAAATATAATGACAAACATTACTATTTGTTTTGACAAGTATTAAAATCATTTCTAAATTAATAAAAACCTAAAATAAAATACAAAACTAAACAAACTCCGGTAACTAATGTGAATACATATTCATTTATTTAAATATTATAAAGGTGAATGACTCTAATAAATCTCTATAAATATTTATTTTAAAGATGATTCATACAAATTAAAACTGTGAAATTAAACTGAATAATTATTGACAAGGTCTGTTATAAAGAGGTCAAAGATTCATGTAAATAAAACATTGATAAAACAACCAGTAAATATAGATTCATATGTTTTGATCTGTTTGTTATAACTATTATGAATATTTTATTATTTATATTAAAAAGAAATTTGCAAAGATTAAAAATCAACAATGAGTAATCATTAGACTCGATGTCTGCCTCCAATTACGTTTTAAATTACAACAATGTTAAGACTTTCGTAGAATCCTACATATCTAATAATATACGAGTGGAGGAAAATAATCTTTGTATTCAATTAAGTTAACGTCCATATAGCCATAAAATTCGTCATACACAAAGTTAATTTTTTGTAAGAATATATAATAACAATAATACAAATAATTATAGGTACTAACCATGCATAAAAAGGTTCGTGAAGTTCTGCGTAGGGAATGTTTAATAAACCCTTGACCGTGTAAACCTCGCTCCATTGAGGTGGATTATCTAAAGGATATATGTAATAACAATTAATTCTGTATAAGGCACAATAATTAAAAAATATTTTTGCGACTTCTACAACATTATAAAAAAATCTATTATATGAACAGGTACAGAAAAAATAAAGCAAAATGAAATAAACGAAATTGTTTACCTTTATCGATGTGTAGTCCTACAGCGGTGCCCAAGTAGAAACACAATAGAGTATAGACAAACATCCTGAACGAGCGTCCGGAGCGACCGCCACATACAGAATGACAACTGAGTACTGACTAGTGAGTGATGAATACTTCAACGACGATGATGGATCAGAAACTGTAACGGCCGGCAAAAAAAATATGTTCAATTAAACAAAATATGCAAAACACGCATTTATATGGAAAATATTTAGAACACGTACTGATTAATCACTTCTTTGAAAGCAAACAATGACACTTAAAATAAATACAATATTTTAAAAAAATACTTGAGGCACAGGTATTTACGTGTAGAATAATATAAATACTTTTTATGCTGTAAAACTAAATAATATTCTTTTAATTGTACGTTATTGTTCTCAAATATCTTTTTTCTAAAAGCCAGTAGAACTTGATGTTTCGCCTAAAAATACCTACAATTTAAATATAATAATGTAGGGAGTAAAGATTGAGATTAAAATCATAATTTGTGTTATTATTAATAATACTAAGATAAAATGGCGCAACTATGGTATTATTACTAAAACACATCTCTTATAGGCAAACGTTAGTGCTTAAAGTGTTATAATTTCTTACACTTCGAGGGCAAAAATATAGAAATAAATACGCTTTCTGTGTACAGACTTGATACAGTACATTCAGATTATTATTATATCATACTTCTATCTTTAATAATAAATTATTCCCAATTTTAAGTATATCTATGAAGTATAAATAGCATATGAATATATATTATATTTAAAGGGTATAATCTAAATATATAGAGAACGTCGTCTGAGCGGTGCGATATGCCAAAACAAAAAATATAAGAGTCATTAGAGGAATGGTCAGGCTTAGGTTCTGAGCCCTCAACCTTAAATCCATCTTTACAAATCACTTCTTAACTTCTATGGTCGATCCATCAGTTGCGGGTTTTGTTAACAAGCTTATGGAGTTTACTTCCCGCAGCTACAGCGAGGCAAAAGTACTGCCAAGCCTTTTCGCACCAAAACAAACAAATGAATATGGCATGTCATTCGAGAGACCGAAATTGAAAAGTGCAGCAGACCCAGCTCATATGTATGTTGTGTCCGGATGTGATGTTGTGGATCAACGTTTGAGAGTCTCAGATGTATAAAATAACCCAGAGTGACAATCGACCTAAAACTAAGATTATTTCGGACACATAAAATCATTATAGTTTAGAAGAGAAAATATCAGCAGGAGGAATTGAAAATAAAATTGACGTAATGAGTTTTGAGATAGGTAAAGTTCAGCTCAGAAGAGCGACCTATGACAAAGTCAGGACTCAATTATGGGAAGAGACCTTTACGCTGTGACAAGATAACTTAGAATCTGTGGAAATCGGAAACATCAAACAAATACACTTATTAAGCGGGTATATGAATAAGTTCTTGGGTAACAATAAACATTGAATGCCTCTTATTCCTGTTTTGGGATCAGAAAGTTGTCCGAGTATATGTGCCTACTGGCGGACGTCTTTGGCACCGACGCGACGAGTCCATCTTCTCTGTTCGTTAACTTTTTTCTAAAATACGTCTGTGACGGAGAATCTAACAGTACACAAATTTGTTATTTATAAAATAAACTAACCTTAAAAAAAATAGTGGTGTTTGGAATTGGAAAGAGAGAATAAGAAATTTTATTAAATATAACAATAGAGTTTACTTAGAGAATTGAGGAAGGTTAAAGTTTAAACAGCATTTGACAATAGGTAACGGAGAATGTAACTTATTTGTATTAAAAAGTAAAGCAAGTACAAAATGGTTAAAATGAGAAAACAATTTTAAGACCCAGTTTCAGCAATCAATGTTTGTTTAATCTAAACACAGCATTTACTAACCAACCTACAAAATTATAAATGTCTGTTAAAATATTTACGTCCTACGATCAAATTAACAACGCATTATTAAACGTCATGTCAAATGACCGACTACCAAATTATTCGTTCTTGTTATAAAACGACCAAATGGAAACTATAGCGTTTAATACGGCACGTTTGCCACGATGCACCATTTTATACTTTGATCATATAAGTATATCCCTCAATACGTCACTTGTTGGGTAATGCGTTGTGCGACCGACTTTCTCTGTACCGAATGATATACGTTAATTTTTGGGTTTATTTTGTGTAATAACCAGCTCCAGAATCAAATCAAAAGGTGTTTGTAGTGGCCTTTGAGTTTTACTGATATACATAATTTACGAACAATTTACTCCATTTAGTTCTTTCAATGTCTGAAATCATTCAATTGTACCTCACTTACATTTTTTGTGACTTTAGAAAAATACATTTGATTTTATATGGTGTATATTATTTTGAACGACTTGTATTACACTCTCTATTAATTCTGAATAGTAAACAAAGGTAGCTCGAAGTTATAAATAGGTGACATTATTTTTAATAATTTCTTCTATGTAATTTTCTATCTTGACATTATTTTTAATTTGGAACGCCGACTTTTAGCCACTTACTCTTACTTTACGTTTTCAAAGATTAAATATAAATCACATTTTTATTTTTTTCAAAATCCATAATAATCGCCAATAATTAAATGAATAAAGTAGAATATTTTCATATGACAATAAAACTTATACATTTATATGCTACGACAAAATTTTTGACAACTCGTGTTGTGACAACTGACATAGAATTGTTATTAATGAAAATTGAGAAAGATAGAAAAGTAGACTTGGGAAACATTATTATTAATGAAAGATATTTGTGTATATTGTATTGTATGTATGAAAAGATAGCAGATAAGTTATAACAAACCCATATAATATAGCATAATGAGTAAAAAGCCAATTTCATTCGGAAAAATTAGTTTTGCAATCAACACATTGGGACAGAATAATGTTGAGAAGGATAGCAATTCAGGCTTCGGAACGTTCGGTCGCACGCCGATTATGGAGCAAAAGGATATCGAGGATATTTCCGAAGACCTAGAGAGTCAAAACTTGCATCAAGTAATGGGTATTAAAAATTTTGGTAAAAAAGCAAAAAGCTTCAATATTGATGAGATGGTAGAACAGGCGCGCTTAACCGCTCAACAAAACAAAAAGAAAGTAGAAGCCGAAAATGAAAGTAAAGAAAAGGATATGGCAGGTAGTAAAGTTTTAGGGCCAGTTAATGTGTCTACAAGCAATGATGATCAAGATGATGAGGACGATGAACTTATCGGTCCTCCCATACCAGCGAATATGTTACCGAATCTAGACACTAAAGAAGACAAAAACGTTGAAACAAAACATGGTGACAACAGTGATGAGAAGAATCAACACAGTGATGACAGCTACGACGACCTCAGCGGCTCGGATGATGAAGAGTTATCAATAGAGAAACGGATACCAAATACACATGAGGTAATGTATTCATACATTTTAGTTATTGGAGAGGCTATCTACCGATGGGTATTACTTGTGTGTCTTTTTATATTTAACTACAATTTTATTATAGTTTTATGAATGAAAAGAAATTTTGTTCTAAATAACTATTAAAATAACTACTTTTCATCCATAAAGTAGGTTAGTAGAGTTGCTTTAGAATGAAATCTGTTAACAAAGGAAAGTGAATTAATATGATATCATAGTTTTTGTTTCTTTTTGTTCGAAGTCTATAATAAGTTATTTTAATTCACTACATATAAATAGTCTTTTTTCACACAATCTTCAGTTTATGATGTATCAGTTTAATAATTACTAATGACCTCTGCGTATTGTAATAAAATTGATGTATTAATATTTCATATGTATTTTTTTCAGGTAGAAATGCAACATGGAAGTAAGGCAGTAGTAGCGGTGGCGGTGGACCCTTCAGGAGCTCGACTGGCTACTGGCTCAGTTGATTATGAAGTTTCATTTTGGGATTTTGCTGGTGAGCAAAAAATAAATATTAAAACGGAAACAACTACTATGGAAGTGTTTTTATTTATAAGCCAGAATCTTCAACACAAAACATAATTTTTTCCTAAAATATAACTTATAAAAGAAGTGCTATAATATTTTTATACTAGCTTTTGCCGCGACTTCGTCCGCGTGGAATAGTTACTTCCGGCAGATTTTTGGTTCTTCCCACATAGTTCCCGTTCTTGCGGGGTTTTCGGAATTGTCGAGTTCCCGTAGAATTTTCAGGATAAAACCTATGTTTTTTTTAATTCACAATGAAGTACTCTTAACCAACAACATATTTATTTGTTTATTTGAGTAAAGATTAATATTATTATGTTGATACAACTTAAACAAATTATTTCGACCAAATTAGGTACCATAAAAACGGTTTTTGTGAGTTAATCTTAAAAGATAGACATATACTGTCGCGGACTGTTTTTTAGATCATTAAAAGAGCTATTATTCTTTAGTACATATTTTTTGTGTATCTGGAACCGTTTTCACGGCGCACGCAACGGAAAGCTTCAAAGATGAAATAATTTCTCCCGTTTTTTACACATTTACCACTATATCTTTGTTCCTATTGGTCGTAGCATGATGTTATATAGCCCACAGCCTTCCTCGATAACTGGACTATCCAACACAAAAAGAATTATTCAATTCGAAGCAGTAGTTTCGGAGATTAGCGCTTTCAAACAAACAAACAAACTCTTCAGCTTTATAATATTAATATTTTTATATTTCATTACCAAGTCACTAACTACAGTCATCACTTAATTTGTATATATTTCATATTGTGTTGTCATATGAACGTTTTTGTTTCTGTGTGATCATCTTCGTTCTGTCCAGAGAGTCACAATATAAAGTATATCGTCAGGTATGGACACGTCGATGCGTTCGTTCCGCACGCTCCAGCCGTGTGAGAACCATCCCATCAAGGCCCTGCAGTACTCGGCCACCGGGGACTCCATACTAGTGGTGAGCGGCTCCGCACAGGCCAAGGTGTTGGACCGGGACGGGTTCGAGGTGCTGGAGTGTGTTAAGGGAGACCAGTACATTACAGACATGGCCAGGTGAATTCACGAACATAGTTGACACATGTAGATGGAATATGAATAATAGTAATAATAATATAAATATATTTGATGATGATGATGGATTGATGAAGATGGACTTGTGCAGATGTTAGCTGAAGATTATTTTAATGTTTAACACCTATAAATATAGTATGTTTGTTAAATAAAGCTGATCGGTTCCAGGACCAAGGGTCACACGGCGTCGTTGAACAGCGGCTGCTGGCACCCGACCGTCCGCGAAGAGTTCATGACCTGCTCCCAGGACGGGACCCTGCGGCTGTGGCTCACCGACAACAGCAAGCAACACAAGGACGTGATCAAGCCGCGGCAGAGAGGAGGACTCAAGACGAACCCCACCACGTGCGGCTTCACCAGGGACGGGAACACTGTGGCGTGCGGCTGCTACGACGGATCTATACAGACGTGGGACCACCGGAGGAGCTTCGTCAACACCTCCATGATCCTGAGAGACGCCCACACCGCGCGCACAGAGATCACCTGTATCGCCTTCTCCTACCTCGGCTCCTACCTGGCCAGCCGCGCCAACGACCACACGCTCAAGATATGGGACCTGAGGAACCACCGCCAGCCGCTGAACGTGTTCCGAGATCTGTTCTCGAGGTACGACCAGACAGACTGCGGCTTCAGTCCCGACGACTCTATGGTGTTCACGGGAGTGTCGCTCCAGAACAACCGGGACACCGGCAGACTCATATTCTTTAATTCCAAAACGTTCGAGACAGTCACGGAGGTCCCAGTGGCCGCGTCTCACGTCATCAAGGCCGTGTGGCACGCGAAGCTCAATCAGATATTCGTGGGCTGCGGTAACGGGAGCGTGAAGTGTTACTACGACAACAAGCGGAGTCTGCGAGGAGCCAAGCTGTGTATCGTGAAGACGCACAGGAAGAAACAGATGGTGGAGGTGGTCAGCTCGCAACAGATCATAACGCCGCACGCGCTGCCGCTGTTCAGACAGGAGAAGTTGAGGACGAGCAAGAAGAAGATGGAGAAGGAGAGGCTGGACCCCGTCAAGTCGAGGAGACCCGACCTGCCCATCACCTCCGGACAGGGCGGGCGGGTGGCCGCGTCCGGCAGCACGCTGAGCTCGTTCGTGATCAGGAACCTGGGGCTGAGCAAGAGAGTGGACGACGACCAGGACCCGCGGGAGGCCATACTGAAGTACGCCAGGGAGGCCGAAGAGAACCCCTTCTGGGTCGCGCCCGCCTATAAGAAGACACAGCCCACACCCATCTTCATGAACGACGAGGACGGACCCGGCGACGCCAAGAAGACTAAAACTGATACTTGAACAACACTTACATAATAAACAGTCTCTAGTATAATATTCATCGTGTAATTATAACAGTAGGCATCACTATAAGAGTATCTATATATCGGATGATCCAGAATCAAATAAAAAGCTCTACAAATCTTTCATATCTTTATTTCTAAACCTAAATATGATACATCCTTTACACTCGAGCCGCGGCTTTGTCTTGTGAATGATCTTCGTTGACGGGACTTATCGGTGACCGAGCAGGATTCTGAAAATAAACATAACAATTCATTTCTATGATAATATTTTTTACAGTATCACAGGTATGAATGACTGCCACAAATTATATTCGTATTTTTTTCTAAAGTAATAATATTCTGTTTTACCTTAACGCTATTTTCACATTACACGATTTCGCTCGTCCGGGAAAAAATTGCCCGATTTTTAATCGTGGTTTTGCTACTTTCACATTGAACGATAAAAATCGTACATTTTTGTCAGTTCATTGGAACATTTGGTCGGGTCTGGATGAAAACTATGGATCGCGAACAAGTTATTGCGTTATGGATACTGTATCGGCGCCGGAAAAGACAAAGGCGCAATCGCCTTCACTGGATTCACCCAATTGATCAGAGACGAAAGGAAGTCGGGATGTTCCACACATTATTTGAAGATCTTAGAAACGATGGCCAAAAGTTTTTCAACTACTTTCGTATGTCAGTTCGCTCCTTTGATGAGTTACATGGGAAACTGAAGAGTGTTCTACAATTCCCGTACGACTAAAGACCGTCTAGTGTGAAAGCGTGCATTTGGTCACATAGGCCACTAGGCTAGAGGGCGATATGGTAGCCGTGCGGTTCTAGTGGCACTGGACGGCTGCAACACGATTACAAAACGTGCCCGTGTTCAAATCGTGCAATGTGAAAGGTCTCGTACTCTTCAATAGTCGATCAAGAAAAATTGCCCGGGCGATTTTTTCCCGCACGAGCGAAATCGTGTAATGTGAAAATAGCGTAATAAATTACGAATATACTTAGCTTCTCACCTACTATTAATAATGTATTTAAATATTGTTATTCAAGACAATGGCTAAACACTTCCGTGATTTGCTCATTTGTGATATTTTTAAATTCAATTCTGTATACATGTGTGTGACACTTACCAGTTTCTTAGCTCTGTCTGTGAGTATAGAGAAGGCGAAGTGGTTCAGTATGACTCCAGTAGGGAGCGCCACGCCCTGGAACCTGTACAGCTGTGGCGGATCACCGACACCTGAAGGATGGAGATATTCATTGTGTACTCGACATTATATCTATATCTATATTCTATATATATCTTCTATAAATATAAAAATGAATTGCTGTTCCTTGGTCTCACTAAAACTCTAGAACGACTGAACGGATTTATCTTATCATAGTCTTGAAATGTTCGTGGAGGTTCAGGGAAGGTTTAAAAGCTGATTTTTTTTTATTAATTTCCGGGAAAAGGGTTTCGGAAATAAAACAGCGCTTTTTATTTCCCATACAAACGTTTTTTTGACATTAGATTTGACAACTGACTAATATGTCATTTGTCAATCATTTTGTCGCACTTCAGAACACGGAGATTTATGGCTTAAAGGTAAACACCGAAAAAATAAATAACACATAAGTTATTTCTTGATTGAGGCAGTACGAAGTCTGCCGGGTCAGCTAGTGTATATATAAAAATTAATCCCTTTTTGCCTTAATCACGGCATCACGCGTGAATGGCTGGATCGATTTCACTACTTCTTTTTTTGTTGTATTAGTTATAATGAATCTATTTTAAATAGAGTTAACCAAATAAAAGATTTAGGTATAACTGTTGACTCTAAAATGAGCTTTATTCCCCATGGAGACGAATTGACCAGTAAAACATTTAAAATATTAGGATTTATAAAAAAAAGTACAAAAGCATTTAAAAGATCATATTCTATAATATGTAACATTATTTAATTCGCTTATAAGAAATAAATTAGAATATTGTTCTGTAGCATGGAGTCCCTTTTATCAAGCTCATATAGACAGAATAGAGAAAATTAAAAAAAAATTGATAAAATTTGTAAAATTCAAAGATAGAAACACGATTAGGCTTAATAATTACACAGCACAACAAAATCAAACTTTTTTTTTGTTGCATGAAGTTTTTCTACTGTTGTTTACTAATTTGGGTGCGCAAATTTTAAATCTGACCTCAGATTTTTTGTAGCAGCTCTAGTTAGTCAGATACAGGTCCGTCTTGAATTTACATAAGTTGTCAATAATTTCTACCAATAGCGGTGTAACTTAACTAGTCCCTTTATAAATTTCATTATGTCTTCCTCAAGAAGGACGTGTTTAAATAATCCTGAGGGTTTTTGTGCTATTTGCGGATAATATATGTTCCAAAAATGTCGTTTAAGTGTGTCAGCCTTTGTAAAAAGGGCATACTTCGACTACTTTGGGTTTCCGTTGCCATCAAACGCTAAACCTTTGATACCAATTTTAGTGTGTAAAAGTTGTATTGAATCTTTGCAATTATAGGCAAACAAAAAAAGTCCAAATTTTAAGTACAAATCTCCCGTGATATGGCGTGAACCACCCAAACATCATAACGACTTTTATTTTTGTGTAACGAAAATCATAGGAATAAACCATAAAAATTGCTCTAAGTGGATATATTCAAACTAAAAATCTGTCGTAAGACCAGTCTTGAGTATTAGTGACACATCAACACCACAGCAGCCTTGTAGGTCTTCGGAAATCCAGACCAGTGCAGCGGACAAACCGTAACGCCGACAGTGGTAGAGACAATAGTCCCCGATCACTAAATAAAGAGGATCTAAGTGACTTGATCAGGGACCTTGGCCTGTCTAAAAGTTGATAGATGATAAAAATTTCATCAACCATATGACAGCTATTGAGAAATGTGCATGGGAAGAGTTTGTTTGAGTAGTGAGAATTTTTTTGAGAATACTAAGCATAACGGCTACATTCAGCACGTTGAACAGTTGCTGATACACTTCCAGCGGCTTGGATGCAACATGACTATTAAGCTTTACTATCTTCACAACCATCTAGACTATTTTCCTGAAAATCTAAGTGACCTAAGCGAGGAACAAGGAGAGCGCTTTCAAAAGGATATTCGCTCTATGGAGAACAGGTATCAGGGGTACTGGAAGGAATATATGATGGCTGGTTATTGTTGGAGCATTCAAAATAGTAATCATGATACATCTCACTCTAGAAAATCCACAAAAAGGAAATTTTATTCAGAATAAATATATTTAATAATTTTTTAAAATTAAATTTTGTGCATTTTTAATGAAACCCTGTCTCTTCATAAATCCAAAACTAGAGCTGCTACATAAAAACGGCATATATTTTTGAAATAAGCGTGGAAAAACTATTCAGATTCATGTAAAAAATCTCATGCAACAGACATGCTGTTTTCCAGTGTTATGAGACTTTATTAAAAAATTACAACATGATAACGCTCAAAAATCGTAGAGATATGCTAGACTTTTGCTTTTTACACAAAATTATATCAGGTAAAATTGATTGTCCTTAATTACTAAAAGAATTTAATATAGTAGTACCGAGACCCCACACGAGGCATACAAATACACCAACTTTCAAATGTTGGTTTGCAAGGACAAATTTAGGAATAAAGGCACCTTTAAATAGGGCCTTTAGAAGTTATAATAATATTTCTAAAAAAGTTGATATTGATATACATATATAACGATAGTCTAAAATCCTATAAAATAAAAGTAAAAAATAACTTTAAACTTTTAATGTAATATACTTATTGTAAATAATATTTGCGGAATAGTCCATATACCTCTTACAAAATAGTTCTACTTTATTTTATAAGAGTTCTACTTTATTTTATATTATTTATTATTTAATATGTTGCTTTATTATATACATATATATATATTTTTTTGTGAATGCATGCTGAGTTAGCCTTTAATTGTAGTGTACCTTGTAAGATCATTGTACATCATGTTGGCTTCCTAATAAAATAAATAAATAAAAAATTAGGAGACGGTTCTTATGTTATAAAAAATACAAAAATTACTAGGAAAAAAAATAGAATAGTCACTTTTTTATTTAAATAAAGTGTTACTCGCAGCAATGTTCTCGTAAATATAATAGCAATAATAAACACTTTGGTTTTGGAATAATTTTCATTTGTTAATATACAAATTAGAATTCAATAATCACAGTTAAGACAGAACATTGTCTGTCGGGTCAGCTATACTTAATAAAGAAATTAACTTCATTCAGATAAAAAGGTAACAGATATTTCTTGATTATAGGGCGGTACGAAGTTCGCCGGGTCATCTAGTATTGAATAATATAGGGGGATTGACACTATTAAAACAAAGTACATATTCCTTATTTAAATTTCTATTAAAACCAAATCTATATATTACTAGAAGACCCGGCGAACTTCGTTTCGCCCTATAATCAAGAAATATCTGTTACGTTTTTTTATTTATATTTTTGGAGTTTACCTATTAAAGCCATAAATCTCCGTGTTTTGAAGTGATTAGGAATGATTAATAGTTAATATGAGAGTTACACTGAGCTAGCAAAATAATAATTGTCAACGTTACTACTACACTTGATGCACAAACAATAACGATGGCCGACAACTGTGTAGGGAGTGAGAGAAGTCTAATTGTGTGAGAGAAACAGAAGACCGGCTTCGTTCTCATCCCTACTCCGTGCTGTTTACTGGGTCAGAAGTGACACCTGTAGATATCTGGCGGGGATAACTTATTAAATGACGATTGATCAGTTATCGACCGGAGATGAAAAATGATTAAATTACTAAAATAGCTATTAAAAAATAAGGGTTGATCGTAGAAGGGTGAAAATTTAGGATTGTATGTATTTTTGTACGTTGTATCATAAAAAAATAGTAATTAAAAATTTTGTCTAAAAAATAAAAAAATAAAATTTAGGGGTGGACTACCCCTAACATTTAGGGGGATGAAAAATAGATGTTGGCCGATTCTCATAGCTACCGAATAAGCACAAAAAATTTCATCAAAATCGGTCAGGTTGTTTCGGAGGAGTATGGGCACGAAAACTGTGACACGAGAATTTTATATATTAGATAATACTACAGCAGAGTTCAGTAACAGATGTCGATGATGAAATTATAAAAAAATAATAATTTATAAACAAATATTAATTTGTCAAAAATTAAGTTCTAAATTGTGACTTTTATATAGTTTTAATAGATTTCCTTGAACCCTTTACTGCCACCAAATATAATTGTAACATGATAGAGCTGACCAAAAACATTAAATTTGATTTAATTTATATTATAAAAATAATTATTGTGAGCTCACCTGTCAGCTTGTGTACCGAGGTGATGGTGACCTTCCCGATCTGTCCCGTGTTACTGATCATTGGTCCCTTGGAGATGTCAATGTGTTTGTCCACCTTGTATAGAGTTACCTTCCCTTTAAGAGATCACATTTAATAAAATACACTCATTAGAATATAAAATGTTTGTTTTCTTACAATAACCACATTAGAACTCACCATTATTTCTTGCTATACTTGGTATTTGCTTTGCTTTGTGTTCATTATCTACAAACATTTCTAAGGCGAGCTCCTCCGATACATCTAGCCGTTCCAAATTAATCTTTTTTCTACATAACTGTACATACTCTGCACTTAATGTATACAGCTCTTGCGGTGTGGGTTTCCAGTCAGGTAAGGAAGGCAGGTCTATGTCGTAGATGAATGAGCCGCTGCGGACTGAAACATATAGATTATCCTATGATTTCAGTGAATACTTGGATTTATATATCCTATTTACTTTTTTCATTATATCTGTAAATTGTTGTAAAATATTAAAACAGAAATTCATTACACATTTAAGAACAGTGAATCAAAATGTCAACAATTTCTTTTAGTTTTATCTTACTGTCAGGTCCGGGGAAGCTATGCAGGTGTACCGGCACCGAGTCTTTGAAAGCCACTGTGGCACACGCTCCTAGCACCAACGAGCATGTCCTCCAGAAGGCCTTATTAACTTGCTGTGGTTCTGCTATGTTAAATCTTTGAAACTGTAAATATATATACAGGTCTCACACACAAAAATAACACAAGGAATCTGCTTATATTTCCTATTCTTATCTTATTTTTAATATTTGTTTTGTGTTTTATTTCTCACCTCTAAGGTACAATTCCCTGTGAGTGGTCTGTGCATGTCCCAGTGTACTGAACCGTCCACTAACGCGAGGGCACTGCTCTCCATGTGCCACTCAGTGAAATCTGATGATTTATATAACTTTTAGAGATATATATAAGGGTATACCTACTCTTAAACAATCTACTATCACAACAAAGTCCATTCCACATTACTTACGTCTCGCACATTCGTAAGGTGTCGATATATCTTTATTCATCACTAGGGTACAGTCTTTGGGGACACCTATGTATTTTACTTCAATTTTTTCAATACGACCGACATTATCTAGTTGACGTTTTTTTTCTAACATGAAGAGATGATGCCGACGCTCGATTGCTTCTTGTGAACTTAGACATCCTGAAAATTATCACAAGGCAAATAATTTATTAATACTATGTCTAAGGCAACCTATAAAGGTATTTTATGACTTACGCTTTATGACACTTTTTGTACTAGTGTTCCATTGAAAACACCTAGATATAGATATCATGTTGTAATTCATTCCTAACGAACAATATATTTGGTTTTGCTCAAAACAATATAATTCTTATAATACCCTTAGGTTATGTTTTGAGATACAGATTTATTTGACAGTTCTTTTATTATGATAAAGTTTTCGATTCTAGGGTATTGAGTAGGTTGCCATGTCCATATATGATGTAATAATATATTAAACAATATTTTGTACTTGGGGAAGCGATATGATAATTGTGCCATAATATGATCATAAAATAAAATTATTATGATAGTAGGTTCAAGAGTTGAGCAACGTCTGTTATTTTAAGAATAATAAATTGATCCAAAATTATTAAAATTCTATCAATATGGTTATGAAATTCAGAGTTCTAAATACTTTAAATTTAAGGAACGATTATTCTATTTATTTTCAACAGTTGCTCGTTCTTTTTAATGGATTTGTACTCGATAGAAGTGGGAGCGAGAGGTATAATGACAAAATCTCTCTAAAACCTACTCAAAAACTTGAGCCTGTCTAACTTATATCAATTAATTTTTAGAACGCAGTTCTAAACCGGCCCTGGTAGGTTCTTCGAGAGAGAAGTTTGAGCGGTCTAAGTAAGCGTTTAATGCGAGTTGGATACATCATACACTTGGGTCACAAGTCTCAGGCATTTTTGAAGCTCCTCTTCCTACAACGCGATGGGCCCGGCACCCGCACTGTGAATACTTTGAATGATGAGAAGTTTCGTCTCGTTTCATATCTATCAATGTAATAATTTACTTCTGCCCTCCTCTTTAGCCATTTAGATGTAAGATGGGATACTTGTTATATATTTTTCAATTTTTATCCCTACTCACCTCGCAAGTCCCGCTTGGCGCTCACTACTGTGGACTTTACTATGTGGACGCATCTCGTACCTACTGTTCCCTGTTAGATAGCACAATGCACCAAGATTTTAATTTTTCTTGTATGCTATTGACGGTTTGTAAAGCGATATTAGGATAGACATTATTAGATATTACTCTTTATTAGTTTATTAGACATTAGGGAATCCACGAACTTTTTTAACAGCTAATCTTCATGTTTTCAAGATCCTGACACAGCACTGGGATTCAGAGCTAGAATTTTGTTGGTTGGTATATACAACCTACCTTATGTAAACATTAAAGAAAAGAAAATATATAAATGCATAATTTCTTATTCAAGAATTTTAAAGAGTTAAAAGAACATTGGTAGATAAAGAAAAAGTTGGGACTTTTAAAATTGAGTAGCACAAATATTAAAATAAATACAAATCAAAATAACATAAAAACCAAAGATAGCAGAAAGTTCAGTTGTAACACAAACACATGTACAAGTGATCAGTGATGTCTCATCACTGACTGCTGACATATTGACATTGTATAGAAATGCAACTCCCAATTATCATTAGAAAGCTCATATTTGAGATGTAGATATGAAATATTTGTTTCATGGTAGTCAGATTAATATTTGATAAAAATTAATATTGTATTATATGTATTAATACAGAGGAAATAAAACAATATATCTGATTATAATGTTTCATATTATTGTACAATCATCTGCCTTTCCTCAACAACTTATCCTACCATGGTCCTTTTCCTGCCTCTGGCTCGTACATCTTCAAATTTGCTTATTACTTCTTTAATATTACTCTTGCTGTAACACTTGTATGCAGTAAGTATCTTTTCAAACAGGTTGTGATAGTCGTTGTGTGTACTGAGCAGAGCTCGTTCCAGTACGTACAGGTCCACTCCTTTGTCCTCCGAGCTGCTGTCTATGAAGGACAGTCCAAAGTCTATCAACACAAGTTCAATATTTTTGTTATTCAACCATCTCGTGTCATCCTCTACGTCACTCGGCTCCTTCTCAATCAACAACATGTTTGATGTGGTCAGGTCTCCATGTATTATATTGTTGTCGTGTAATTTCCTAACTGTTTCTCCAATACTTTTAACTAATGAATCTAAACTGTTATTATCTCCTGCGGAGTGGTTCACTTTCTTGTAATATATTAAAAAGTCTTTAACAGTGATGCTTCTTTCAAAATGTTGCATGTATATACGTCTCCGCTCGAAGTCCACTAGATACAGGGATGGTGTTTTAATTCCCGCGCTCTTACACCGTACTATAGATCGAGCTTCGTTTTTTATTCTTTCTTTAGTTATAGACGTATCGAGATCAGGGTGCCTGTAGTGCTTCCTGAACCTCTCTTTTATAAGAGTCGGTTTTCCTAAATAGTTGCATATATACAGTTTCGCTTCGGCTCCCTGTTTTAGTATTTTTAAATTATCATTCATTCTTATCACTACAAATGTAAGGTTAGTTAGTAAAAAGGAATATCAGAGAAGACACTGTTTCATTATTTTTAAACCTCAAAGATTGTTTTGCCAGCCGGTAGTGAATCGTGCTCCTAAGTCCTAGGACATTTGACAATGACAATTAGAATGACACATTTTGACAGATAATGTTTATCCTCATACAGTATCCATAACAGACTATTTACTTTAAAACTATATTGGGCCAATCATTTAATTGATAAATAAAAATTATTTTATAAAACTTAATTTAAGAGTAATGAAATACTCATTTATAAAACCATATATACATTTAACAACCAATATAAAAATCATCGTTTATAGACCGCACCTTTCATCTAACACTATCTTGTTGCTATATACACTTTCTATACGTAGCATATATAGGTATAAATTCACTCGCTGGAGAGTAAGGGAGGCTGTGTGGGCGTCCGAGACTCGCTGTTGCACCGTGCCGGTAATCGGCGCGACTTACAGCACGAAAAATATATATTTTGATTCAATTTTGTACGAGTACAGTGACTAATCGCTAGTGATATCATTATATTAACGTTTATAAAGCGATACCAGTTTTCGGAATCAATATAAATCGAGTGTATTTAATATTTTATTGATAAACCTCTGTGCCGTGAACAAAAAAGTGGAAATGTCCGAGGGCCTGGAATACGAGACCATCGTGCAAAATGGACCTAAGAAGGTAAGTCATAATTATAATATTTTTCGGCTGAATATAGTCAGCCTGAGTCACGGCGAGGGTGTCTCGCGGTATTGATAGAGGGCCAGGAGGAGGAGGCGGAGAAGGTGGCGGGAGGGGTTGGTCGTGGAGTGTACCTACTATACACACTACAGACTACAGTATAACCGTCTGTAGTCTGGCTCACTGGCTGTTGTAGATGTAGCAGCGACTCGTATGATCCGCGCCCGGCGGCCCGGACGAGCGGCGACGGGTACGGACGTATGTTGTATGTATTAATTGCTTTCTGTCCAATTGGAATCACTTATGATTGCAGCGTGAAAACGGCTCTCTGATTGACGAGATATATTTTTTAGGGAAAACCTATCCGTTATGCTTAACAGTTCACACTGTCATTACAAAATTTTGATGTTTATGGGAGCAGAATAGAGTAACAGTAATTATCTAAGAATATTTGTGAAACGGGCCCGCGGACCGCGAACAATAGTGTGACTGAGATCACATCACCAGCCGTTACTTTCTGAACACTCGCTGAATTTTAACAAACATCTTAAAACAAATAAATATTAATCCAGTCAACACAAAGGTTATCTTGTAATAAGTATTTAGTATATAACTCCATTAATATGATTATTTTGTATTTAATGTAATGTGTTATGAACTATCCCTTGTATTTCGAGTGAGTCAGAACATTATACATACTGTGTATATATTACGATTATTATGTAAACATTTATCAACGAAAACATAATCCGCTTCTACTGCAACCTAAACATATTTTACCCCGACGTGTGTTGACGACTAGAGCACCGTGAATATGTCGTTTGTAATATAAATACGATAACTTCGGAGAGATCATGTAGTAATATAGAAGTAGTAAGATCATGAATAGAAGTGGTCATGTTGGAGATAAACAGATCAAGATTCATACAAAACTATTAACAATAAAAATAATGAACTCTTTATAATTGTATGACAACTGTGTCCGGTGAGGCGGGAACGATCTCAAATTATATTTTCAAATGATGATTATAAGCCCGACCGCTCGATGTGCCTCTAAACTATGTCCAAAACTGGAGCCCATACAACATACAGATCCAATTAGTATAATCTGTTTAACGACAGTGACATTATAACTTATCCTCCAAAATATCAATTATGATGAGTATTAAATATTAAATGTGAGTATTCGGCGTGTCGGCCGCGGGGTCGTTGACCCTCGCCTACGGACGGCTGATTGATCCAAACTCAGTTTACACACTAACAATTTGTAACTTATTAAATACGTACCGAGTGTCATTTGATTCAGTCAAATTTAAAAAGCTGATGTTCAATATAACTTACATGTAAGTGTTCGTATCAATAAACTATTGATAATAAGATAAGGCCATATATTAATATTATTGTTTATTATTAAGACCAACGTCAGCCACACCGACCGACCGCGCGGACTGGTTTTAATTATTTCGTATCTGTTTTCAATCAATTATTTTAAATTATTTGACCATATTCTTCGTTTTTTGTTATTAAGGAACATTTTACTAACTTACCTGATGTCTGCATTAATTGTCGTCGTTTTATTATTATTGCTCTACATAATGCTCTCTTACTATATATCAACCATTAAATTTTAATATAATTAAATAAAACAAAAGTTTTAATATGTTAAGTGAGTCTTCTTATTAATAGTATATTTTTCTGGTCCGTGTTCTCGCTTCCTGTGTGTTATCTGATGTCTCCTGAGTCACAACGACCCTGCATTATATTTATATTATCTTTAAACTCATTATTATAAATACGACAGTTTTATTCTTCAAATACATTCTTTAATAACGAACCGGTTTTTATCATTTCATTGCAATACATAAATATACGTACGTAAATGTTGCTTAAATTAACCTTTCCTCCAATTTCAACGACGATCGACGCTGGTTTTCTTGAAAAATACTTAAAATAACTGAATAAATTATAAGTATTAAATAAACGAACTGGGAGATTATAATATACATATATTGTTCATTTGATGTGAAAAAACATTCATATGTTACATCAAAATCTATAAGATTATGCAAGTTTATTTAAAAAAAACCGTTTAAAAAGTGGACGACCAATAAAAATAAATAATTATAGGTATTTGTTTGTAAAGTTTCATTTAAAATATTATTATATTCAGACGATTGTGAAAGTATAAGGTGAGTGTTTCGCGTCGCCTTGACCTGAACCGAAAGGTGTGAGGACGACCTCCAGCCGCTGACCAGCGCGTGACCATGACTGACTGACCACTGACTGACTGACCACTAGTCACACGCGACACTCTTGGACTCAGCTTCAATTGTTGACGTATCATTTGACATGAAGTTGACATACGGTACAGTAGATAGGTTAATAGGAACAGAGTTAGGTACTAAGTAAGTTACAGATATCATAACACACATGTACATGTAGTATCTCCTTCAGGGTTTCATCAACATTCTCATTTCTTTTTACATCTGTATTGTGAGTGTTTTTCATTCCTGAACTTTGCATCTCGTCACAAAACATCTCTGTGTTCGGGTCGACGACCTTGCTTGGCTACTTTAAAATTATATCAACATGTCTCCTTTTGTTTTAATATAGAATTAACTTCGATACAGTCACTTACCTTAGCCTTATCTTATGCTCTTAAATATTTGTGAGATTTTTAATTTCTAAACTCGAAACGCCTGTCACTGTCACAGCTATCAAACAGCGTGTGTCTCGTCACTCGTCAGTTGACCGGACAATACGTGAACCGTTTAAAGACTCAAACATTTAATTTAGGTCGTTATAAAAGATTGTTTAATGTTAAACATTATTAAATACAATCACATTACAAACATAACTATTTAAATTGTATATCTCATTTAGTCGTTGGTTAACTGGATGACCAATTGCTGATAGATGGAAGAAATGGTGTATTAAAATGTTATAACACGTAACAGACGACTGTCAAATTATTTGTCGAACTCTTCAATGTGTTAAACTTATAATGCCTAGTTAGTTACATACAGTATATAAGTGTGAATCTGTCGTATATAAGCCAGTAGTTCACAGTCCAGTACATTCCCTGCCCCTGTTCGTCCCGTCCCTGCTGTGTGTGTGAGTCCACTCCACCTGGAGCTGGACAGCTGCCAGGCGACCACACGACTCATACTACTGTATATAACAAACTATATGTACTGGTCACACGATGACACACAGACAAATCAAATCAAAAAGAACAAAGTAACTAATAGCCAGATGTTCTGCTTCTATTGTATAATAATCTTCATCTTGTCCATGAGGGCCCCCCTCACCTCTCAATATTTTATTAAACAATATATTCTCATTATTTTCTGTTGTTTCATTGTTCCGTCTGATATCGACTCCATTACGACGTTATAATAATTATAATATAAAACAAATGATCACATGATGTTATGTAAACTATTTAATTTCTATTTTGATTGCGATCTTAAATGGATCAATTATGGAAGTGAGAGAACTTGTAAACCGTAACCATTACAGACATATTAAACGGACGCGACACGCGACCAGCTCTCAAAAATAATAATAAATAATATATGTATAACGTGCCGTGTCCCGTGAGTGATGAAGATACCGGCTTGTGAATAGAAGATATTGACGAATGATCGATACTCAATCTTAATTAACTAATTATGTCAAGTCCAATCTTACAATAAAAATGTCTTTTAGTTTGATATGTAATGACAACACTGAACACACACATCGAGGAATGTTCACGGATTGTGTGTGTGTGTGTGTGTGTGTCAAAGTTCCAGTAGTGTGTGTAATGTGTTTCTAATACATACATTTCATGTATATACAATATGTTAGTCTTCATCTTTTCTAACAATCTTTTACTGTGTTAAATTCCACATTCATCCGTCCGAACAATTCACATAAAAAGAGAGATTTTATTACAACATTAACTGTTAAAATATATTAATGATGATTTAAATCCTACATTAACAGATTAACATTTACCATTTCTCAATATCTTACACCTAACATTATTCTTTACACATTACATTAATCTTTGTACGTATATTGTAACTGTTAACTTCTATCGTTAACACATTCCCTTCTGTACTTAGGTACTATATATTACTCGACTTCAGAATGAGTAGTTCTGTATTAACTCGTAATGTGTGTTCGAGTTAAAAAGTTTTTAGTATTCATTGTTATAAAAAAAAATCTGTGACATATGTTTTTTAACTTGTTTTTTTTCGAATAAAGATCCTTTTATCATTCTATATTTGTATTAGCTTACAAATATTGTTTCAAAAGTCCGTAATAACTCTTACTCTTTACACTTAATACCTTAGTTGTTTGTATTCATAAATGCGTGCAATGAAAGGGGTCACCTCGTTAATATTGTTTATTAAAGGAATCGAAGACTGTCCTAAAACATTTATTGGACGACTGTGGAGCGTGGAGGGTTCAGACTTCAGACACAAACACAAACACAAACCACGGCACGCAGAGCGTTCAACTGACGCGTCATGATTATTTTTAATCGTCGAATATTGACCTAAGCAAGTAAGCGTCGGCCCACAGCAAACAGCCGACGTCGCTTTACATTTTTACTTACGTGACTCACGCTGACTTAGGAACGGTTAAAATTAACTAAGATTTACTTTGAACACATCGAACACTTTCAAGGGCTCCGGTGATCAGTTTGAGTTTTGTTTTAGCTTCATAGTCTTACGGACGAGAAACAGAGAGGGAGTCAATGATTATATGAATGTTGTATGAGAGAGGGTTTGTTAACTGATGTAGGTACATCGAGTGTGTCTCAGTGGAGAAAATAAACAGGAAATTAAGACTTAACCCGAATACCAACATGACGAACAACGAGCACAGATTATAATGACGTTACTTAAGATTTATTTTTATATTTCATTTGACACAAAATACTAAGAGATACTAGGACGTTCCTGACAACATTATTTTTTTCGTTCCGGTTAACAACACTAACATTACTTTTTATTTTAATTATCTTTATATATTTGTTAATTTATTTAGAAATCATTTTTACAAACAATCATTCAATATTAGAGCGGCGCGGCGTGAGGCGTCATCGCGTAGTGTCAGATGTTGTAAATAGTATCAATTATATAAAGTTGGACAGAGCTGTATACAACATTAGTTAATAAGACGACCGCTTCCTGTCTAAAACTAAATCACCAACAGGATGTTATAAATAGTTGGCGTTTCAAGGAATGACCTCACCCGCCATCATCGCGAACCTGGCTTTGAAACTAATAATAATTATGTTAATATAATAACTGTACATAATACTCTCATATTATAAACAGATCTCAGATTTTAGAGAATATTCATTGAAATAAAACTAATATTGTTCGGAATTACTTCGGAGATCTCGTCTGTCCGTGATTATGGTCGTTGTAAAGTAACCCAAACGTCGGGAGTATGTTGTTCAAAATAATTATAAACGAGTAATAAATACGAAAAATACTAGTTCTATCTCTTATATTATGTTTAACATATGCTACTATAAGGTATATTATAACAACTAAACTTCTATGTAGGAGTATTGTAACAGAACAGAACAATTTTATACTGTTTCTGTGAGTCTGAGTTTTCAACATCCAGGCTCCGGGTGGTCTTCAAAGACCAGACCAGTACCAACTGGTCACGAGGATGGACGCTCTGTAACTTGAAAGATCAAATGTTACTCCGCCGTCGAGACAATACAGTTTACATATTACATAAATGGATTTATTGTTATTTTAATAAGTTATGAAATCTACACGCTTTTTGAAAAGACCCAATTAAGATTTTTATATTAGCATGTTATTGTTAATATGAGGCCACATAGAAACTTAATGTAGCAAGTGTTCTTGAAACACGTCTACAGCGAGAAGACGATAACAACAGGAAATTTATTTTAACTTATAATTGAGTGGAAAATATATACGTATATATTGACAAAACAATATTTATGATAACGTGTAAGTGGCTGGCTGCAACGAAATGAAATATTTAAAAAAGAAGCCACTCAGAGACGTCGATGTCAATTTACCATCAAATCCAAATGGAACTAATATAATTAGTGAATAATACACGAATAAAACGAATAATGTATCAACTGTAACAAGAAATAGAACATTAAAAATGGCCGATGAACAATCACAGATGGACAGGAACATGAAACAACTGGCGGAGAAGGTGGAGAAGATAGGAAACGTACAGAACAACCTCGGGAGCAAATACGAGGGACTGAGGAGAAGTGTGGAGGAAATACAGAGGGTGGTCGGCCAACTGACGGAGAGAGTGGCGGGCTTAGAGGACGGGGCGGAGAGAAGGAGAGTGAGGAGCGACCTGAACCACATGAAGACGAGGATCGACGAGCTGTTCACGATAGTGAAGGACGGGAAGGAGGACGACTCGCTGAGAGGAGACGAGCTGCGGGACGGAGAGTCGAGCCACTCGGGACTGTCGGGGTCCTCGAAGGTAACGAGACTGGTTACATGTACAGGTGGGGGGGTAGCTTTACAGACACAACACTGTCTATACACATATTGGTTATAGGACTTAGGTATAGTATGTACATATGTATAGAGGAAGAGCTGGACATACTAGAATAAGTCAGCGAAATATATTGTGTGTGCTGAAATGGTATGAATTGAACATATTAACTGTTTGAACCATGACGTCACTCTCCAGTAAAATACATTCAACAATTAAATATTATTCACTCACTCATTTATCATGACAATATTTTAATTAATATAAATTATTAACTATGTTTAATAAATGGAGTATTTGGGGTTAAAAAAAAATATAAATGCACATGACCTCCGATCAGATCATAAAAAAAAGAAAAGGTAAATATACCTATATAAATATATTGGAAGATATATTTATAATGAAAGTTGATAATGATAACTACACTGAGTCGTTGGAAAACTGTTGAAGTAGTGTTTCCTGGTCATGAAACGAGATCAGGATCAGTTTTCAAACTATGAGGAGGATGGAAACGAGGAAGATAAGAGGTTAATTATTGGTTGTGTGTCTCGTAAGAGTTAAAACACGCAGTACATACATGAAACATTACCGGCTCATCTACACATCGAATTGACTTCAATGTTTGATTCGAAAACTGATACATCTCACAATTTTGAATTTAACAAAACTTAATTTCTTATATTCAATTGAAGGTAATTATTTTGTATAGTAACTATTAGTTAAGAAATGTAACTCGTTTGAAAACAAGCCCCTCAATGATTATAAATAAACATACACACATATATGAAGTGAAAATGTTTTTCTAAGTGGAGACAGCATAAAGTATAGACTATAGAGAGTAGGTTCAAACATAAACAATTAAATAAAGACAAACTACACATAACTTATACATATACTAAACATATAAGTGAGGAGTACAAGGTTTGTAATTGCTAAATGAATGTGCGTCCGTCACCGGCGTCAGTTGAACGTCATTATAATTATCGTTTGAGGAGCAGGAGCAGCATCCCTTAGTCATTACACGAGGACATTACATCTCTCTCTCTCTCTCTCTCTCTCAGGTGAACACACTCCCCCCACCCCCCACCCCCCGGAGACAGCTCCACGATGTCAAAGGGTTTAGCTTTTTAGTTATAATACTACTCTTGAGATATTTTACGTCCCTTTTAAACCGTTTTTAAATCCACTTCCGATGAGGATTGTTGAAGCTGCTATAAATACAAGGAGCTGACTGTGTTCATGAAATGCATATTGAAAGTATCAAGACTCCCGCCTTGACGAGGACTTTTTGACAGGATCTGGAAACGATCTTTACTCAAAAACCGAACACTTCAGAATAAAGTACAATCTGAAATCGAGCTTAATTTGCTATGAGGATAAAAGAACTGTTGTCGATTCTACGATAAATTTAAAATATTGAGATATATTACAAGGTATGTTAGAATACCTATTATATTTTATTATATGACAATTAATAACAAATTTGGGTACGGCGGCAAGAATTGATGAATGGAAGAACAACGTGGAAAGACATGAGTGTAAGATGAGCCTGAGTGAGACAGGCTGTAGCAGAGGGTCCAGGTGGCTCGAGGCGGTCGCTACATGAACTGGAGATGTTTGTCCACGTTGAAGCTTTGACAAGTAATGACACGCTGAACTACGGATTTATATATAAAAACCCGACAGTTGACACCACCAGACACCATCAGCAGTCCTCAAACATATAGTGGCTCGAGTGAAATGAACTGTAACGGGTTGCATCGAGTCCACGTTGTGTCCTGAACTGATTCAGTATGAACCAGGCAGCGAGAATACAGTGTCAAATACAACAGGATATTAAAAAAGAAATCTAAAAATAGTGCTGCGATCATCGTGCAGACATCCACACTCTAACGATTATTTTTTTACTCTATACATTCAGATATTGATAAATAAATATTAAGCCCGTAATAAATCTTATCATATCTATCAAACATTAACTCACGGAGATCCTATGTGACGGTTTTTCTCGCTTTAGACACATCATCTTCTATTCATAAAAAGTTTTAAAGATAATAATATTTTTTATCTCGATCCCTGTTGCTGGACGATTTTTCTGAGAACGGTTTAATACATTATCCCTTATTTGTTTATAAATATCATGGATACAATTAAAAAACATAAACTAGTTTTAAATTTACGAGAATTTCAACAACTAGAAGTCACTATGAAGTTGACGCGTGACTATTACTATACCTGTTGAGATGAAACGATCCCGGACGAGACACGGACGGACTGAAACGAAAAATATTCACGTAATAAATACTGAAAGTAATGTTGGATAAAATAATATATAAAATACTTTCAATCGGGTCTCTCTGCTCCTTATACGATGACAAATGTAACGTCTTACAGGCAGCAGTCGGAAGGAACTAGGACTTCCGGCAATCATTGTGTTTTATACAGTATTTCAAGGAATTTTAATATTTACGGGAACATTTCTAGGTATTACAGAGCAAATAAAAATAAATATGCGTACCAGAATTATTCAAAGTATATGTAATTATAAAATCGTGCAACACTCTCGTATCATAATGAGTGACTTTCACCCTACTTGTAATAATTATAATGGTCGAATGTCATGACTACTCACTTTTATAATTTAATATACTATACTAAAAATAGAATTCTGCTTAATATCAAAAAAGATTTTATTATACATACATCTAGACGATACGTAAGCGAACTTTTAAGTTTCTCTCTTATATTATGGTTACATAAGTAATACGTTTAACAATAAAAAAAACGAGCGAGGAGCCGCAGAACATGTCGAGTGTAATATAAAAACAGCGTACATACATACAGCAGAAGAAAAAATATAAGAACATGTGTTTGAGAAGTCGCGGGCGATACAAATATGTAGAAGTTATAGAGTTTAGTTGTATTCTGTAGACCGACCGCCGACGGTCACAAGAACAAATACATATATTAAATACTCTTAGACTTATACAGAAACATGAGATGACTTGGTTTGGGAGATGTCCTGCGTTAGTGTAATGTTATTGTATAATGCTCTACTTACACGAGGGAAGATCTTCCCTTCTCTGCTCATCTTCTTACGATCTTAACGAACTGTACCTACTTAATATATTTGGTAATTGAGCAAACAGTAAATCGTCCTCTTGCTTCAGTAGTTCCTTTACTACTTCTTCTCGTGGTCTATGTATTTCATGTCGCACTACAGCCAATAGCAAAGTAGGAGTAAAGTTAAACAAGGTGGCCAGAGCAGACAGACGATACAGCGGCGGCTGGTCGTACATATTTATTTTGTTATCCCTACTAATATTATAAATGCGAAAGTAACTCTGTCTGTCTGTCTGTCTGCTACGCTTTCACGCCTAAACCACTGAACTGATTTTAATGAAATTCGGTACAGAGATAGAGTTGACCTTGAGAAAAAACATAGGATAGTTTTTATCCCAGACTTTTGAAAGGTTCTCTTGGAAACGCGATATAACCGAACTCCACGCGGCGAAGCTGCGGGCGGAAAGCTAGTTGTTTATATTATAGTATTTCTTAGTAAAAAATTTGAAATTAATAGTGTTGTTGAAAATATTCTTTACCAAATTCACACGTGATGTAGATTTTGTAATTTATAAAATTTTCAGTATACCTCTACGTTGAGAGAACATTAAAATTATTCCAAAATTATAACAACTCTTCTTAAATGTCAAGTGTTTTTTATTCAAGTGTTCATTGTTTATATATTGTTTGTATTTGTTATGTTCAGGTGACCATGACGACGGGTCTGGACCGGGACACGATACGGGCCGCCTACGAGGACGTGCGGTCAGACTCATCACCTACTGAGTGGTACGTAGAGGAGGAGACAGGAGACGATGAACGATGGAGAATAAATATATGTACTGATACAACACGAGGGAGTCGGAGTGACGATAGGAGTCAACTAACATGTTAATAATAAAAATTAAGAAACAATGCAGCAGTATAAAAGATGATGCGGGGGGCAAAAATAAAAGGAAAGATTATTATAGGTTTTATATATCACGAAATGTCACTTTATAATATTTAGCTACATTATTTATTTAGAAATTACAAATATGTTTATTTAAACCAAGCCCCGATCATTACAGATAAAATATTAGAAATACGGTCGACGTGAGTGAAGTTAGTTTTCTGTTAAATAATTTCTTTAAAAATTAAATTTTTGGAAAAAAATAAGTTTAAACCATTAATATCGATGCAAAATGGAGTTATATGAGAGGCGAGTATTATAAGGCTGTGACCACACAGGGCGGTGTTCAAGTTCGAGGGCACGCGGATCGTGTGCGCGGCGCGAGGCGGAGACTTCTCTGAGTTCCGCACGCACTTCGCCGACGACGAGAGGGCGTTCGGCTACCTCAGGTACACACACACACACACACACACGCGCGCGCACACACACGCACACACACACACACACGCGCGCACACACACACACACACGCGCGCACACACACACGGTGATGTTAACGACCTTGTACCGTCTCAGGATGCAGATGGGAGACGAGATGTCGAAGAGGAAGAAGTTCATGTTGATGACGTGGGTGGGACCCAACGTGTCCGTCATCAACCGCGCCAAGATGTCCACCGACAAGGCCATCATCAAGGATATCATTTCCGTACGTATAACACGACATACTGTACAGTGTACACTAGGTACTTACTACACACAACTATATATGACTGTCAGTAGTCAGTATGTCACCGCCTCTATGAAGGTTTACTTGAACGTTGTTAAAGACGATACATGTAGAGTGTTGAGGGGCAAGTGGGAAGTATGAGGCGGGCACATTTAATATTTGATATGAGAGAACGATTTTGTCATCGAGACAATTTTTCATTATTAATTTGAGTGTTCCTTTCTTACAATGAAACCACGAATGAAGTAATTATTGCAGTGGCGTGCACAGAGAAATGCCTAAAGGAAATAAAAAAAAAACAAAATAAATACTAATAATTTTTAAATACCGAGCAAAGCTCGTTAACCAAATATTGTATTGTATGATTTAAAGTATGTAAGTAAGAATTAAACAATATAGGTTTAGTTGTTATATGGGTAGGGTATACAGAGCTTATTTGCAACTATGGTGTGTACGCCTCTGAGTTATTGTTATGAATATAAAAAAATATTAAATATAGTTCGTTCTATTTGATTTCTAAATAATGTTTCAAAATGAAACTACATATTCATATTTCTATAACTAGTACTTAAATAACAATATATTTTGTTTCTATATTTGGCCACTAACTTTCATTTTGATGGATTTTCACAATTTAAATGTATTTGTTAAATATAAAGGATGTTAGAATACTTTGTTCCAGTGTGGATGAACAAGGATCAGTCATGAAAGAGGTTATCATTATGTGTGTAATCTGTTTGAGAGATATTTTAAATAAGATTCAATTAATATTATAATCAGATGAAGCAGATAGCAAGGATCATGTTGTAGATCTTCAGGTAAAGCTGACTGACGAGACACAATGTATATGTGAGGATGGTTTGATAAGGAACAATCAGAACACTGTCCTTTATATATTGTTGTGTGTGTTGCTGTGTTTATTACTTTATATACTGATGTCAACTGAATTATCAAATGATATTTAGTTATCAAGCTCAAGACATTGGTAATCAGTGAACCTGTGAGATGCAAAGCCAATAGTTATATGGGTTGAATGAAACCAAATGAATAAAAAGAATACATTTCAAACAAACAAGTATATTAAATAAAATCATAGAGATATTTCCTAACATTGAACCCAACAGTTTGTGCGACGGCCGCTATGAAGTCGTAACCCACAATACATTTGTATTTGGAGACATCCAAGTCAACTTCTTTACTCCCCGCAATCAACTTCAACTCCACCAGGGTTGCGATCTGTGCCAGCAGGTTGCTCGTCAAACCTATCTTATCTTCTAGTATTGCATAGAATATGGCGAGCAGTCGGTCCAAAGTAAACACTTTCGGTCCCAACTGTGTGTTCAACTTCTCTGTTATTTTGGCTTTGGCCCTCACCTGCTGTAGTTTCTTCTTTTGTTTGCCGTGGTTCTTCATAAAGAGTCGTTTGTCCTCCTTGGGTGGGTTGTAACTGGCAAGGTAAGCGGCTATCAGAAGGTACTTGGCATAATAAGGCAATTCAAAACTTTGCGCAAAAGTCTTTGTTGAAAGAAGTTCTTCTTTCAGTGTATTTTCATAACTTCGAGTAGTTTCTTCCAGCGTTGCATTATTCTCTTTGGCCGGAGACTGGACAGATTTTGATGTGTTTATTCTTAAGTAGAGTAACTCTAAACTGGTCTTCAATATCGGCGCTATGTGCCTCCATAGTTTTGTGAGGTCCGTTGATTTGATTTCATTCTTAATAATAGGTTCACAGTATTTTACAAAATTCACTCTCGCCATATGTTGTAACTCGATGAGATCCCTACATGGTCTGTAGAACACGCTCAGGAACGCGTTCAAAAAGTTCGCAAACAGCTCGGGGTTTTCAAGATCTTCCTTCAACTGACCGTCGATACACGCGTCACTCGAACTTAACAAGTAATTGACGAAAGATTTTTGATTCAGGAATATTATTTTAAAGAGTTCATCTTTGGTGTAGTTCGGGAAATATAACTTTATCGGTTCCCGGACACCCATTTTAAAATAAAAGTTTTCATTGACCAGATTCGTTACAAATATAGTACAAATGTTTAAGTTACAAAATTCTCTCAGCCTCAAAAATGCCATCAACATGTTCTGATCCATGGTACGAAGTCTCTCAGCTCTATCGAACACTAAAACTATAGGCTTGTATTTAAAAGTCTGAACACAAACACCATTTAAAATGTTTGTCAATTCCCACATTGAGTCGCATTTGACGTCTTCTTGATCAGTTAAACCTGTAACTACAGCTTCGTATAATATCTTGGGAGAGTAACACTCGATACAATCGATAAATACATGTTTGTAATTTAAGTATTGTAATAATTTAGATACACATAAACTTTTGCCGGTAGCCATGCTCCCGCTCACGAATAAAGAATAGGGCAGCGGTTCATCACCTTCCCCTAAAAGATCCATCAAGTCCTGCAATTGATGCTCTCTGCATGGAATTGTAGATATTAATTCTTCCATTCCTGTTTTTTATAAATAAAACTTAATAAACAATCGGTCGTTTTGCGTTAAGTCTATAAATAATATTTATTAACGTCACTCGCCTTCCGATGTTGTCAATGTCAAATACTAGTTTGAACGGCCTCATCTGATTGGTTGTCAAGTTATTACGTTTCGTTCAACGCTCGCTGCGCGTGCGGTCTCTCTACGACTTTTAAATTGTTATTTTAATATAATTATTAATATCAAATTCTTATTTTTCAGAATTTCGCAGTGGAACTTCAGTTAGAGAGTCAATCAGAAATAGACATCGATCAATTCAAAGAAGCTCTGAATAGAGCGGGCGGTGCCAACTACGGTACTGGAATCAGGGATTTATGAATTATAACATAGAAATCGCGTGCATCTTGCTACAAATATTTACAACATCGTCTTAGCAATACTTTCTTACCAAAAACTTATTTGATTCGACCCAAGTGTTCGTCTACAGTAACATAAACTTTTTGTTATTTTAACGGAGTATTGCTACGTAGAATATTTGTAAACGTGAAACATCTTTCTAAAATCAGATGGAAAGTGGCATAATCAAAATTTTCTCGTAGTTTTAAAGTTATCGTAAAGGACTTAACAATTTTTGTAATATTTATATGATATAAACGTTAAATTTCGATAATATTTTGTAATAATATATATATTGTGTGACAATATATTTTAATAACTCTTTATGTAGTATTTCTGGCAGTGAGTCCCCGGGCTCGCGTAGTCCGGGTCCACTCTCCTCCGCCGCTCTGTCTCATGTTCTAAATCATCTCGGAGTATTAGTTGTGTTCAGAACGGCGCGGCGCTGAAGTGCATTTATTTTGGTGTACATTTGATAATGACTTGCTTTTATATACCGAGTAGTGATTGATGTATCAGCATGCATTATTATCGATGACTGGTAAATACAATTAACCAAAACATGACTTGTTTCATTTCTGATCTATAAGTAAGGTAAAAGAAAGTCTTTTGTTGCTGTAAATGGTTTAATATGTTACAAACGAGGGTATATGGAGGTAACGGTTACTCTATAACATGGCAACGTTCCGTGTCCTCTTGAACACTATATATATGGTAATTGTTTGAAGGTCTTATAACCAACGTTAGTGTATTATGTACATCTCTTGTACTCGATACAACAATAACATGCATTAAAAAGTAAAGTAACATGTACTTATAATATACAATATTATGCTTCAGTTTATTAGAACATGATTTGATGCTATAACTAAGATGAGACGAGCCGACACTTGACAGAATATGACGGATGTGATGACGTGTCGTGTGACGTCATCAGTGTCGAGTGTTCCGTGTGTGTGTGTATGTGTGTGTGTGTCTCGCTCCGCCTCCCGGCTTTACTTGTGTGGAGCGAGCGCCCGCAGCAGCCGGCTGTCCGTGGAGCCTCCGAACAACACCGAGAGCAGCGCCACGCCGTACCCGGTGGCGCGGTCACCCTGACATACAACATATGAACATTATATAATAATAACATTTCGAACAGAATAATCATTGTAACACAGAGTCTTGATAGTTTGTTTAGAACACAATCTATACAGGGTGACTGGTGAATTACTATCAATATTTGAGGACGTGATATTTGACGATCATATATGACAAAATAAAAATTAATATAACATAAATATTAATAAACTTCTAAGTAAAGTTAACCAAAAGTTGTGTAATTAATTACGCATCGTATGAACACCCTACAGATTAGGTATTAGGTACACACACACAAACGCGTGCGGAGGCGTGTTGTTGTATCAGCACGCCTCCGCACGCGTTCACACTTGGAACACTTGGAACGTGTACACACTTTATTTATTTATACGGAAATTTGGTCAAAAATTAAGTACCTATTTTTTTTACATAATTCGAATGAGAATCATGTACCGAGTATGCTCCTTAAATATTGATAGTAATTCACCAGTCACCCTGTATAATACAGTGGTCAGCTTTAATATAATGTATTGTTGCGGGAGTCGATACAGATTATATTGTAGTTGTAGAAAAAGTTTCAATACAATCGACTATCAGCTGTCACCACAACTCGAATTTACTTAAATTAATTATATATATAAATGTAATCATTGAGATCCTATGTGTAATAGAGTGTTTAAGGCGAGGGGATTGTATGTGATATATAAAGTGTCCGTACACATCTGGAGGGCGCGGCCATGTCGACGTGCAGCCAGCGGCCGGGGAAGTCGAACCCGAGGTGAGACAGGATGAACAGACCCGCGCACGACGACTGGGCGTTCTCACGGTCCTACCGAACACACACACATACATATAGTTATTATATGAACTATTTAGTTTCTAGTTAGCTTATTTGACAATTACAAAGAAATTAATGGATCTTTCCAGATATAAATAGCTTATCATCAATATAAAAATTACAAAAATATCCCTCCATGTTTTATATTAAATCTGATTTTGAACATATATATCTTTATATGTTTTATTCAAACATAGAACATATCTCATAAAATTATTTCGACATATTAAACAAATCACTTAACAATTCAATAATTGAGTTTGTACAATGAGGTTAATAGTGAATGAGTGAGTAAGTACTGACCGCGACGCTGTTCTTCATGTCGGCGACGGCGCTGCTGAACTCATAGAAGTGTAGCTCCGGGGCGAAGGGCAGTGGGTGTGTGAGGTCGCCGCTGACGAGACCCGCGCGCACACAGCTGGCCTCCAGGGAGCCGCTGTTGGACACCACGGCCGCGTGGTACTTGCCCGTCGCTATACCCTGCTCCGAACACACACACACACACACACATGAGTCACAAGCTGTCTGAGCCAGGTACAATACAGAGCGGTGTGAGGAGGCGGACCTGCGCGCCGGTGAGCGTGGCCACGTCCACGATGGTGTCGGCCTTGAGGTCCCTGTGAGCGAACACCACGCCGTCCGCCAGCACCAGCCGGCCCTCCGCGTCCGTGTTGTTGATCTCCACCGTGCGGCCCGAGTACAGGGTGTGGATGTCGTCCGGCCTGGAACATGAACACAACCAACTGGTACTTATAGTCAAAGATAGAAGGAGAGAGTATATCCGTGTTGTATGAGAGTATGACCTGGTTGCGAGCGGGCCGACCGCGTTCTCAGCCAGACAGAGCACCGCGTGGAGCGACACAGACGGCCGCGCCCTCACCACCGCACTGAAGGCGCCCAGCACGGCCGCCGCGCCGCCGCAGTCGTACTTCATACCGCACATGGACTTCTACACACACAGATACGTTGAGGACTGAACACAGGAGAGAGTCATGTGAAGTTAACAATGTAGGAGTGTCGTACGGGAGCCTTGAGACTGAGGCCGCCGGTGTCGTACACGATGCCCTTCCCGACCCACGCCACCGTCTGGCTGGCGGAGGGCGGGCGGTAGGATAGCGCCACGAGGGCGGGCGGGCGGGCGGCCGCCTTGCCCACGCCGTACAGCCCGCCCATACCGCGCGCCTTCAACTCCTCGCCGCGGATGATCGTGGGCGGGGGGATCTCCAGCTCTTTGGCCAGGTTTATAGCTTCCTGAAATTATACAGTCACTGTTGATATATTAACCACGTCGTGTGTGTGTGTGTGTGTGTGTGTGCGTGTGTCACCTGTATGAACGCGTCCACGTCCATGATGTTAGCGGGTGTGTCAGTGATCCTCGCGGCCAGGCGGGTCGCGTCTGCCACGTCCTGTATAGTCTTGAGGTCGTCGGTGGACAGCACGCCGTCCCTCAGCGTTGGATCCGCGGACTCCAAGTCCTCATCCTCGTCCACACCGTCTGTACGAGGGGGGGGGGAGGGGGTTCATGTAAATACAGTAGAACTCCAATTATCCGAATTAATGGGGACCGGGACCCATTCGGATAATCAAATATTCGGATAATCGGAGTTTTTTTTTTAAGTGCCATTGGAGAGAATTTCTCTCCAATGGCACTTAAAAAAAAAACTCCGATTATCCGAATATTTGATTATCCGAATGGGTCCCGGTCCCCATTAATTCGGATAATTGGAGTTCAAAAGTTACGTTTTGATATTGCGCTATTTTTTTATTAAATTAAATGAAAGAAACATGATATTTTCACATGTTTTAAACATAAATAAATTGTACTTATGTACAAGTTTAGAAATAAAAATCATTGTTTTTTAAACATCTTCGTCAATGTAAGCTGTTATGCGGTCTTAACTTGCCGTTGTGCCTACACTGACTTCGCGGAGGGAAGAATAATAGCGCACTTAGATTTTTTTCGGACAATTTTTTTTCTGAAAGTGATTCGGATAATCGGCGATTCGGATAGTCGGAGTTCGGATAATTGGAGTTCTACTGTAGTGGATTAGAAAACGCTGGAGTAGTTTAGATTTAGGCTCAAAACATCCCAGAGACAGGGATACAAAGAGTCAATGAATGTACGTGAGGAGAGTGAGTGTATGTGTGTTGTATGTATGTATGTGTCTGACCGTCCTGTACTAGTTGTATCTCGACGGTGAGCGTGCGGGGCGCGGCGCCGGCCGGCTCGTGCTGCGTCCCGTGGGCGAGCGGCGCGGGCCCGGAGCTGGCCGAGTACAGCGGCACGGCGCGCGCTACACTCACCGCGCTCGACAACACGTCCCGCTTGCGACACACCAACTACACACACAAACACATACACCTACAATACATGAACCGATAGGTACAACTCCATTCATGTATATAATATTTAAACGAACAATTCTTTTTCGGGGGCAATAAATCGATCTAGCTAGGAATCATTTTTCGAAAATGTTGTTTTATTTAAAAAAAAAAATACAAAAAGGAGTCGTTTAATATATGACTCTTCCTGACATCTATTGGCGAATAGCAATACTACTTTTTGCTAATTGCTTTTAATAATTGTTTAACCCTTAACCACCTAAGTGAGTATTTTTATTAATTCTGCTAGACCACTTTATATTTGGAGTTTCTCTCTTATTTACGGATGAGATTTTGGACAAAATTTTACTACACAAAAATAATGAAATCAAAATACAATACGTATGATATAAAAAGGAAATACAAAACGGCTTACCTATGTTTTGTATGTAAACTACCTATTTCTTCGGAATTTTTGTAAAAAATGTGTTGTTACTGCTGCGAAAAAATGTAAAAGTTATGGCGTTGCAATTTTGTATAAATTTTTTTATGTCGTTTTTTTAATTTATTTTATTTTGTGTTTATTCAAATTAATTTTAGTATTTTAGAATAAAGATTCCATTTTTATAAAACCTTTTAATTACTTTTGTTAATTTGTGACGCATAAATAAAGCACTTAAGTATAGCCATGTATTTTATTTAACTAAACTTTACTTTCCTAGCGGTCTCTATGGCCGCACGTAGGTGGTTAAGGGACAAAAATAGGTGGCATATGGTTAAGGGTTAAACAACACAACAGGAGATGGCGTTGATAAGTAACAGGAAGTCATTAAGTGTTTGTTTTGACGTTAGACTAAGAAATTAATTGTTGATTTAAATTGTTTTGTCTTCTTAACGTGTTCACTTAAAAATACCTACACGAAAAAAAAAATACTAAAAATTTCTAAATTCCAAGCAAAGCTCGGTAACCAGAAGTTTTATATACAGGGTGACTGGTGAATTACTATCAATATTTAAGGAGCATACTCGGTACATGATTCTCATTCGAATTATGTAAAAAACATAGGTACTTAATTTTTGACCAAATTTCCGTATAAATAAATGAAGTGTTGACACGTTCCACGTGTTCCTAGTGTGGACGCGTGCGGCGGCGTGCTGATACAACACTACGCCGCCGCCGCGTCTGTGTGAGTGTGTGTGTATACCTAATCTGTAGGGTGTTCATACGATGCGTTATTAATTACATAACTTTTGGCTAACTTTACTTAGAAGTTTATTAATATTTATGTTATATTAATTTTTATTTTGTCATATATGATCGTCACATATCACGTCCTCAAATATCGATAGTAATTCACCAGTCACCCTGTATAAAGTGTCCACTGACCACGACAAACTCGTTGGCTGCGGACCTCAGGGACGTCCTGACCAGCTTGGACAGCGCGTGTGACCGAGCGGGCGCCGCGTGACGGGAGCGACGAGGGGGCAGAGCACCCAGGGCGACGCCCCGCGGCCACACCTCACACACCTCGCCTCCTTCCATCACCGACACCGCACGACGCCACACCTACACCATAATAATTCATGTTATTACATTGATGATAAACTCTTTATAATACTAACCTTATGATGATGACCACAGTAAGAAAGACAAATTAAATGGATAGGGACTTGGTTGGTGTTATAATGATGACATAACTTGTGAAGGAACTATCATCTCAAAAATAAATAACAACACTTGGAATGTTAATAGGAGTATGAATCTTCATCTTTCTTTGATAAATAATGAAAACATAGTCTTAGTTATGTACTGTAATGATACACCTAGTACAAGTACACACATTATACATAAGCTTGTTTTTAACACAGCCATTATGTCAACAGGATAAGGATTGGAACATTTTGCCTTCCTTTTCCCTTTTCTTCCACATATCATTTCAATGACCACCACCTATGCCTTCATTCCCACTTACTTTCCTTAGGAAACTATTCAAGCACTATAAAAAAACCTTATTTAAGTATTTTTTACCTCTTCAGTAACTCTAGGTTCCATCTTACAGCGGACATCCTGCCAGGACAGAGCTGCTATGTGTGCCGTTTGACCCACAAACAGAACAGGCTTCTGTTCGGGGTCCGAAGTACTCAGACCCCATTTGAACTTTATGTTCACCGAGTTTGACATCCTCCTTACTAAAATGAAACGCAGACATTTAATTCCTGATACAAAGTTTTTATAAAAACCAATATAATATTGATATTTACTTGAAGTGTGTCTTTAATGTGTAATAAGCAACATTTGTTGTATAATATGAAGTATGTGTTAGGCGGGCACACGACACTGCATTTCCATTTAAGTAGTATTTATCTTATCAGAGTGTAATAACCAACAGTTAATAACCTTAACTAACATTATTATTAAAGGTCATTCATGTCAAACTTTTTAAACTAGTATTTGCATGGATATAGATCGCGTCACTCCATGAAGTGTGTTTGAATATTGATTAAAGATAAATTATACAATATTTAAGAAGTCTAACAATACAAAAACGAATAAAATAAACTATTTTCAATTTTAAAACACTTTGTTTTCACATGATCCATAACCTCAACTTTGTTTTCGGGATTTTTAAAAAAAGAATTCAATAATAATAAAATCGGTCACCTGCTAAGAACAGTAAGGGGCGTTGATTTGTCACATGAGTTGTAAATAACTTAACAATCATGTCAATTATATTACAACATGTCAATAAACAATGAAAATAAGATAAAAATGATAATTAACCGCTAACTTTCAAATACTTTACCGTAAAGGAGGCGCTCGGCCCCTCGCTAGTTGAGATGGCTTATCAAATGTGCTGTGTCAACGTTAAAATCTCGTTTATACAAATACTATAAATAAAAATTATGCACTTTATAGTTGACTTTGAACGAGAATAAGGTTTTTTTATTAAACTAAATGCAACATCATCATTTTCAACGTTTCGTTTATCAAACATGGTAGTCTATACTCTGTTTTTTTTATGACATGTAAGATTTTTAAAATTTATTAATGATATATTTAAAAAATATTAAAATAATTATAACAAAAATGTTTCTTAGAGAAATACATAATTTGGCTAAAGAGTTTTATGTAAAAATATAACTTGTTTCTAATATTCTAGATTCTAGATGACATTCGTGTGGTTGACAGATACTAATCGCGGGAGTTTTGAAAAAATATATAATTTAAGATTCACGACTAGTCGGAAACTGGAAAGTCGTAAAAACTGTGAAATTGACTGACATATATTAGGTTCGTTTCTAATTTGGTTAGGTTGAGAGGAGTTTAGATGGGTGACGTGAGCGTCTAACGTTCCTCTTCTTGTAAAGTGAAGGAGTTTCGTCTCATTTCCAATTCTTATAACATCGGAGTTTAGGGCAATCCCCGTGCTGGTAAAATATCAGGAATAGTGCTCCGTCGATGTTAGATATGCAATGTGAACGTAACAAAATTCATGTTTGATTGATAGTTATTAAAAAATATACGTGGTTTTATTTTAATTGGGTATTAAGTAGTGTGGAGTATCATAAACCTATTAGTCGTAGGCTACGACTCAATTAAATGTTTTGTTCAATCGAGTTATCTTAGTCAATTATTATTTTTTTTATTTTAGATATCAAAACAGCATTGCCGTTCTTAACTTCTTATTTGAAACTGTGAATGATAAACAGAAATCTATACCATGTGGTTTAGGTACAATAAGGGCACGTAATACATCATAAATATTATTACTTAGATGTTAGATAATAGAATATAATATCTATTTAAACCAATAAAATTTTTAAATATTCTGATAGGGGGCCGTTCAAGTATTATGTAAGCAGATTTATTACAATTATTTACCCCCCCATCCCCCTTGTCAGCAAAAGTAAGCAAAGCTCTTACCCCCTCCCCCCCATGCTTACGTAAACATGTTCAATTAATGTATTTTTTTTCATATAAGTCCAGAAAAAATTATAATTGTATTTTTTTATAGATCTACTCGATGTGACGATTAAAAATTAATAACTACCGATGACGTAATCGGTACCTAGACTCCCCTACCCCCCATGTCATCCAAAATAATCAAACCAAAGACCCCCCGCCCCTCCATAGTGCATACGTAATACTTGAACGGCCCCTAAGAGCCATTGTTTCCATCTAACTACATAATTAACACTTCTGTACCGCGGTCGACTTAACGCAATATGCAATAGACGGGAGAAAGATTTAGTCATTTATTAAAAACTAGCTTCTGCCGCGACTCCGTCCGCGTGGAATAGTGACTTCCGGCAGATTTTTGGTTCTTCCCACATAGTTCGAGTCGAGTGGTCGAGTTCCCGTAGAATTTTCAGGATAGAACCTATGTTTTTTTTTTATTCACAATGAAGTACTCTTAACCAACAACATATTTATTTGTTTATTTGAATAAAGATTAATATTGTTATGTTGATACAACTTTAACTAATTATTTCGACCAAATTAGGTAACAAAAACGGTTTTTGTGAGTTAATCTTAAAAGATAGACATATACTGTCGCGGACTGTTTTTTAGATCATTAAAAGAGCTATTTTTCTTTAATACATACTTTTTGTGTATCTTGAATCGTTTTCAGGGCGCACGCAACGGAAGGCTTCAAAGATGAAATAATTTCTCCCGTTTTTTTACACATTTACCACTATATCTTTGCTCCTATTGGTCGTAGCGTGATGTTATATAGCCCACAGCCTTCCTCGATAACTGGACTATCCAACAAAAAAAGAATTATTCAATTCGAACCAGTAGTTTCGGAGATTAGCGCTTTCAAACAAACAAACAAACTCTTCAGCTTTATAATATTAGCATAGATTAAATTCAGTACAATTTATTATAAACCAAGTACTTCATAAGTAGAATAATTAATCAAATCTTTTTATGAGTTTCGTTTTTTTATTTTTACAATAATAAGGAGCATCAGAGTTCATAAAACGATTTTAAATAATGTCAGGAGGAATAAAGAAATAACAGTTGTAGCGATTTATTAAATATATTTATAATTACAATAAAAACTGGGATCACGATCAAAAACACGAACATTATTATATAATGTCAAAGTAATATAAACACAAGTAACAGTACCCGCCGGCCGGAGCCGCGGAACAACACTATACTCACTTAACTACTATACTCATATACAATAGGTTCGAGAACAAACGGCGCGGGGCTGAGCGGACCACTACACGATACTGACGGACAGAGGGCGGCGAGCGAGCCGGCGCTCACACACACACACACACACACACACACACGATAGGAACCTGCCGTCAGTGTGTGTGTGTGTGTGAGCGCCGGCTCGCTCGCCGCCCTCCGGCCGTCAGCACGACAGTTACCTTAACTCCGAACTATGTTATTGTCAATTCATAGCAGCTGTCCGTCGGCCGCGGCGCGCCTCACTAACACGACACTAGCCAGTAACAGTAACCACCGATATCACCTTACTTGTACTTTAGAATGGCTCGCGGGAAGCGGACACGAACACGCGCGAGGAGGAGGGAAGCCTTACGACGTACGGGTGCGAGGGAGGGGGAGAGGGGGGGGGGAAGGGGCCGACGATAACACTTTAATAGTTTTGTGCAAAACGGTTTAATAATACATAGCAGTATATTAAGATGGGAACTACGACCTACGAGAAGAGACTCGATGGAGGCTAGAATAGTATGTAATAAATATAATATAATATTGATTTAACCGCTCGCCTCCGATGTTAACAAAATAATCTGACGCTGAGGACCACTGACGACGGTCGGCTGGAAGGATGTGGAACAGGGAACGAACGGGAACGAGAACTATAGCAGGATACAAGGTCACTACAGGACCGAGATAGACTGAGGGAGTGTGTTGAACGAGATGTTACATATACATTAAGACATATCACAATAACAACGACACGGACACCCGCAGCGGCCAGCGGGGGCGCGGCCGGGCGCGTGACGTGTAACTATATGAAGCGATGTAAGCGAAGCGGCACAACCTCTAGCACAGCACCTCACACGCGACCTGCAACACAAACGAGCTCGTGAGTGAGGCGCCCGCTCCGGTCTGTTGGTCCGGTCCGCGGGTCCGGTCCTGTAGTCCGTCACCTGCCGGTCCCCAGCTTGTGGCGGAGGTCACCACAGTCTCGGAGCGGCCAGGTCGGGGAAGCCCTTCTCCCGGGCGGTCCAGTACTCGCCCGTGAACCGCCACGCCTCCTCGCCGCCCTCGTACTCCTTGCTGCGGACACGACACACACACATCACTACATGATCCGCTCGTGTGACGTCACACATGTATCGCTCATATATTACCGGAACCAGGCGGGCGTGTGCTCGGGCTGCTCCCTCCTCCTGTCCCTCTGCGCCTGCTCCAGCTCGTGTTTGAGTCGCTCCGCCTTGTCCACGTCGCCGTCCTCGAGCGCGCGCTGGTCCGGTCTGAAAACATTGAGATAACGTGATATAATGACACAGTGTGGAAGACAATGTATCTATACTCCAGCCAAATTCGATGTGGAATGTTTAATAACAAAGCGTTGCTTAGCAACCAACGTCAGGCAGATGCTCGAAACATTTTTAGAAATACATACATATGTACAACAATAATTTTTGATGTAAATGAAAATTAAAATTGATGATTAATAATAAAATATTTAAGACAAAAGACTAATTCTTGGTTATAATTATAATACTTATGATCATCTGGAATAATTTAGATCTCAATAATAATACCTATAATTTTAAAATGATATCAGTAATTACCTCGTAGTTATATAATTCGCTTTATTATTAACTTTATCCATCGCCACCCAAACGACTGGACTCATTTAAATTAAATTTTGTGTATATGTATTTAAATTTCACTACAGATACAATCCCACTCGGAGCAGGTTATTCATCTCATCAATATTGTTTATATTAGATTACTCATTGTAATCTAATATAAACAATATTTGATAACAACAAACGTATAACAATAACGAATTAAAACAAAATAACGATAACAAATTCTAACAATTAATAACAGAACGGAAGAACACCAGAATCAAAGACTAGCGAATTGTAAGCAAAGCTAACAACAAAACAAACAAAATTACGTAGTTACGTTTCGTTTAACTTTATTTGCGTTAAAAAATATTTTTTTTAATTAATTAAAATATAACCGCAATAACATTTATTATATTTGGAAGAAATTGTAAATATATGTGGTTGAAACAGTGATTATAGTGCTATATTTATGCTAGCCAAAATAAAAAGGTCTTTTTTTTAATCTGTGTGTAATGAAACGCTGTGTGTATGTAAACATTCTTAATCTGTTGTGGTTATACTACCATTATAATACGACTAAAAATATACACCACCAATTACGAAGAGCCTGTATCGCTATAATATACCTTCCTAAATCTGCCAATTGCTTAAAAAAACACTCCAAATGTTACGAACCTGCAATTTCTTTACGTCAGTTAAAAAAAAACTATAGGGTTGTTAGTCTTGTAGTAATATTATAGCAGTAATTAAAGATTTTTAAACTATTATTTTAAGCTAATTTTCATATAAATTATGTATTGACCGGCTAAATATTTTTTTTGGATGCTATAATTTAAAATTTTTGTGTTTAAACATGAAATTATGTTATAATGAATATACATAGTTGTAATTATAATAATTATTATTTTTTATTAAGAGTGTATCAACCCTAATTACGGTGACTCATGGTTTGTTTACTAAAATTCCAGATCGAATGTGGCTGTAGTATAGTATATATTAAAAGTGAGTGAGTGAGGCGGTTCCTGACCTGAGTCTAGTGTCGGTGTGAGGCAGCAGGTCCTCCATGCCGGGCTCCATCTCGTTGAGCTCGGTGGCGAACCTCGTGAAGCCGTAGTAGGCCTCGTGGTCGGCGGGCATGGCGCCCGGCCGCCACAGGCAGCGCGCGGCGGGGGGCTCGCCCGCGTACAGCGCCTCCGACCAGCGGCCCGACAGGCGCACGCGCCGCGCCCCGCACGACACGGACCCGCGCACCTCGTGCCGACCGCTCGACCACGAGGACGCCTGCATACACGGACAAGTGGTGTGTGATACAGTTACATGACGCTATATACGGGTCATCATATCACCGAAGAAAAATATTTAGACGGAAATAACTTTTTATGGATTTACTTAGAGAGATACTCTATTAATATTGAATTAATTTACAAACCACCAAGTACGAATACAACGAGATTTTTAGAACTATATTCTTCACAATTAGAAACAAGAGAAAGATGTATAATTTTTGGTGATTTCAAGATAAATTTATTAAAAAATGATTTTATTACTAAGAAATATAAAAGTTTTGTTAAAGAGGCTGGCTATGATATATTAAATAAAATAGACAACATTTACTGCACCAGAAAAATAGAGACATCCATATCTATTATTATAGATCATGTTTGTACAAATATAACTAAAAAATTTAATTTTACTATTATCAATTCACCACTGACGGATCACAAACAAATATATTGTGAACTAAAAAAGGTTAACCATGAATCTAAAAGGAAACTTAAATATGAAGTCATAAATTATGATACCCTTTATAAGAACATAGAGGAGTCTAATTTTATAAACCCTTATTATAATTTTAAATTATTAGAAAACTTTATTGTAACCCAAATACATCAAAATAAACTAACTAAATATAAGATACAAAACTTACCTAGAAGTGATTGGATCAACAAAAATATAATTCAAGATATAAGTCAGCGAAATTTGTTATAGAATAAACTTAAACAAGATAAAAATAATAAGGAATTAAAATTAAAATTTAACAATGAAAGAAATAAAGTTGGTGAAAATATAAGAAATACTAAAGACAATTACTATTACCAAGCTTTCATAAGGTGTTTTAATGATTCAAAACGTATGTGGGACTTAATAAATTCCATAGCAGTAAATAAAATCAAAAATAAAAGCTGTGCTCCTCCAAAATTAATTATAAATAATGAGACTATTACTGAGGGAACTAACATATGTGAGTATTTCAATCATTACTTTTTATCTATAGGCAAGGTGTTAATGAAACAAATCCCGGCTAAATATCATAATTACAACACTTATAGCGAAACTTTATCTGTACATAAATACACACAAAAGCTTGAGCTACTCAAACCTTGTATGGAACAAGATTTAATACATATAATTAATAGTTTAGATTCAGTACACAAGTACAGGGATTGATGGGGTTACAGTAAAATCAATAAAATGTATAAAAATCCTAATAAGTAAAAATTTAAGTCACGGTATAAATAAATCCATAAGTAAAGGAATTTTTCCAGATAATCTTAAAATTGCATGAGTAACTCACATATGTATAAATCGGGAACACAATCAGACCCTAGTAACTATCCACCTATTTCTGTGTTACCCGTTTTGTCAAAAATATTTGAAAATATCATTCATAATCGCTTAAGTCAATATTTAATGATATAAACTTTTTTTATCACAAGCAATACGGTTTTCGTCCGATAGCAGGAACGCTTTCTGTTACAATTGATCTCATCACTAAAATGATAAATAACATTGATAGCAAAAATATTGTAGTAGGAGTATTCATTGATTTAAAAAAAGCGTTTGACACGGTTTCACATTCTATATTATTACAATTTGAAAAGTTGGAATAGCTGGGACCGCGTACGAAACTATTGCACCTTATCTTAGCAATCGTCAGCAAATTGTAAAAATTGATAATTTCAAAAGTAGTCCAGCTCCAATCACATGTGAAATACCACAAAGATCCATACTCGGAGTCGGGCCCTTGCTCTTTTTGTTATTTATTAATGATATGCACCCATTGCTACTGCGTGGGAAATATCATTGTACGCGGACGGTAGTTGTTTATTTTATTTTGGAAAATCCATTCACAGTATTATTGAAACAGCTCAAAACGATCTAAATATCCTCAACGAATGGTTACAGTACAATTAACTTACATTAAACGTCTCAAAAACCTCATATATGATTTTTTCGGCCAAAAATAAATCTATTCCTTCCCATAATGAATTGATACTTAACAATCAAACTATCAAACAGTCAAAGAATGAAAAATACTTAGGATTAATTTTAGATAAAAATTTAACTTGGAAACCTCATATTAGATTCCATACATTCCAAAATAACTTCGCTTACTGGAGCTTTACGTAAAGATTTACGTAAAGCTCCAGTAGTGTAGTGCACGTTGTATTCCTCCAAGAGTACGAAACATTATTTACATTACTTTAGTAAAACCAGTATTAGAATACCTTATAGGGAATATGGGGCAACGCGGCTAAAACACATTAAAAATTTGCAGATTTCTCAAAATAAACTTATCAAGGTCTTATTTCATATGGATTATTATACACCTACTAAAGATTTATATAAAACAACTAAAATGTTATCTATTAAACAAATGTATAAATATAAATTATGTATACTTATTCGAAAAATATTAACAAACCTCACTCATTCTCAAATTACATTTAGAACCAAAACCCATTCTTACCACACAAGGAACAGATATAAAAAAACTCGAACCAAGTACCACATTAAAACTATTTCATTTGAAGGAGCACAGCTGTATAACTCTTTGCCTTTAAGTGTTGTCAATTCTAAATCTCTAAATATATTTAAAAAAACGATTAAGAACCCATAAATTAGATGATTTCACTGATCTTTCCATTGTAAGCGAACTTTGTTCTTTTTGGAAATAAACTTCTTTAAACCTATTTACATGGCACTATATACAGAGTGGTGTGGACGAACCTTGATGAAGTTCAGTTTGCAGGAGACGTCGGTTCCGTGGCAGACTATGTGCATGTCCCCGTACTGGTCGACCCAGCGCTGGCCGCCGAACAGGTTGTGCACGCAGGTGGTGACCTTGTTCCAGCTGTAGTGGTCGCCGGTGGTGGCCAGCCGCACGTGCACGCGCCCCGCCGGCTGGAACTCCATGGACTTGCCCCAGAAGCGCGTCTTGATGCGCGCCTCCTGCCAGAACAGCCAGCGCGGCGAGGCGGCGTGGCAGGCGGACACGGGCGGGTGGTGCGACACCTGCTCGCCCACGAAGCTGAACCCGCGGTCGTGGCGCACGCACTCGTACGTCTCGCCCAGTAGTGGGTTGAACGGCTTGGAGGCGGCGCGGTGCGCGGCCGACGCGTACGCGCTCACCGCGAACGACGCCACCAGCGCCGCGCGCTCCGCCGGGTCCGCGCACGACGCCGCCGCGTCCAGCAGCTCCGAGTACTCCAGCTCCTCGCACAGGCGCTGACGAATAAACGACATACACGATATACATACAAGAACATATAACAAACAAAAATAAAACATATTAGATATAGAAGGACCGACCTGCAGCATGTTGAGCGGCTCGTTGATGGTGACGGGCATGGACACCTGGCTGAGGTCCTTACCGATGTTCTTACACAGCAGGTTCCACAGGCTGGGCCCGCCGGGCTCCGGACGAGGACTGGGCAGGCGGCTGCGGCGCGACCACGACGGACGGGGCTCCGACACTACCGTTATCACTAAAGAAATCACAAAATATTAGTTTCATTTAAACATTCATAATATTCTCTCAACTAGGTACCTCTGAGCCACGGAAGTACCTTAAAACGATTATGATCGGTTCATCACAGCTTTATAAAAGTTATTTAAATCCAATGGAGATTCAAACACTCTTATTATTATCATTTGAAAACAACAAACAAGGCAAACAAAATAACTTATTTGTGTGAACACAACCTGCTAACTAATTAAAACTATCATAATACTCTTGATTAAAACAAATAACATGACCTTCTTCTAGTTCATTCTCAACTGGTCACACACCTTGACTTTACACTTATGTATTTTAATTTTATTATCAAACGACAGTATTGAAAATCTACTCGTAACTAATTTCAATAAACACATCTCACAAGCACAGAACTCACAGCTTTAATTTTCCATAATTCGATAATAAATTAATCCACTGTTAACTAATTAAAATTTATTCACTTGTGCTTAGAAAGACAAATGACAATTTATTCAATAATAAAAAATGGCGAACAAAATATATGAACAGTTTACCGACCAATCAGAGAGTCCCGTTTCACTTCACGATCGAAAATGTTTAGTTTTTACATTGATAGATGGCGCTTATTGACAAATCATGAATCATATATTATTTTAAATGTCTGTTAACATTCGTCTTTCATAATCTTATCTTATATCTTTAAATGAGCAATTCTTGTATATATGTTTATATATACATAATTGGAATCTCGGAATCGACTCCAACGATTTCATGAAATTTAGTATATAAGGGGTTTCAGGGGCGATAAATCGATCTTTACTCCAGCCAAATTCGATGTGGAATGTTTAACAACAAAGGGTTGCTTAGCAACCAACGTCAGGCAGATGCTCAAAACATTTTTAGAAATATGAACAAAAATTATTTTTGACGTTAATAAAAATTAAAATTGATAATAAAATATTTAAGACAAAGGACTAAGCGCATTCTTGGTTATAATTATAATACTTATGACCATCTGGAATAATTTAGATCTCAATAATAATACCTATAATTTTAAAATGATATCAGAAATTACCTAGTAGTTATATTATTCGCTTTATTAACTTTATCCATCGCCACCCAAACGACAGGACTCCTTTAGATTAAATTTTGTGTATATTTAAATGGGCAATGGGAGGTTGGAGATTACAATTGCTCTAATACTGGAAAAAGCAACGTCTGTTGGTATGGTAGTGTATTAGTATACAGGGTGACTGGTGAATTACTATCGATATTTGAGGACGTGATATTTGACGATCATATATGACAAAATAAAAATTAATATAACATAAATATTAATAAACTTCTAAGTAAAGTCAACCAAAAGTTGTGTAATTAATTACGCATCGTGTGAGCACCCTACAGATTAGGTATACACTCACACTCACACATACGCGTGTCGTGACGTAGTGTTGTATCAGCACGCCGCCGCACTCGTCCACACTTTAACACTTGGAACGTGTCAACACTTTATTTATTTATACGGAAATTTTGTCAAAAATTAAGTGCCTATTTTTTTTACATAATTCGAATGAGAATCATGTACCGAGTATTCTCCTTAAATATTGATAGTAATTCACCAGTCACCCTGTATATATTTTTATTATAAATACAAATACAATATTTATTATTAAAAACACTCCAAAATTTACAAACGTGCGATTTCTTTACGTCAGTTTTAAAATATAGGTTGTTAGTATTGTAGTGGGTAATAAAAAAAATTAAACTTTTTTTAAAGCTATTTTTCATATAAAATAATTTATATTTACATAAGTATTGACCGGCTAAATAAAATTTTTGCATTCTATATAATTTTTTTTTGTGTTTAAATAGGAAATTGTGTTATAATGAATATAGTAGTAATTATAATAATAATATTTTTTTATTAAGAGTGTATCAACCCTAATTATGATGACTCATAGTTTGTTTACTAAAATTCCAGGTCGAATGTGGCTGGAGTATAGCTAGGAACCATTTTTAGAAAATGTCATTTTATGAAAAAATAAAATAAAAAGAAAGCGTTTAAAATATGACTCTTCCTGACATCTATTGGCGAATAGTAATACTACTTTTGTTAATTGCTTTAGCGACACCACAGCAGATGGCGTTGTTAAGTACCAGGAAGTATGTGTTTGTTTTGAAAATGTTCAGTTTTTACATTGATAGATGGCACTATTAACAAATGTCAGTTAACATTTGTATTTCGTATTGTATTAAAGTATATAAGTAAGAATTAAACAAAATAGGTTTAGTTGTTATATGAATATTGTTATGTATGTATGTTGTGTAGTTGTCTGGTAGTACTGACTGTTAGCGTCCGAGTTGTCGGAGCTGGCCGAGCCGTCCTCGGAGCTGAGCGAGCCCGCCTCCGACGACGAGTCGCCGTCCAGCTCGATCACTCCCGTCTGAAAAAAACACACACACACACTATGAGTATAGTCATAGAGAACACTCAAAAAAACTTTTTTGCTCCTCACATGAATGAATGAAAGTGTTCTTTAATTTCATTTAAATATAATTGTACATTTGTACATACATTATTCTTTTCTTTGTTTTACTCCTATTATTTTTGTCTATATTGTTGTGCAATACAGAGTATATAAATAAATATATATAATCTAAACAGATTTAGTTTTTTAAAACGACAAATATCGTCCTATAACGGTTGTAGTATTACGTAAGAGTCTGTAGTAAGTATAATAATCAAACGTGTGACCTCTCCAGCGTTGATGAGCTGGTCGTCGTGTTGGTCGTCTTGTTGGTCCTCGTGTTCCTCCGCGTCGAAGAACTCTGAGGCGGACACACACGACGAGCTGTAGCTCAGCGACTGCTGGAACTGACGGCTCTGAGGGAACACACACACATATAAATACATATACTATATATACACTAACCGACAAGAACATGACACACACACGGAACGATGACAGCTAGTGTGTGTTTATGTTTGATAGTGTTAGGTTTAGCAAAATCTGTCAATTAACATCTTAGTCTGTAGTCACATTTTGTCACATGTTTCTGTTTCTATGATTTATATACCTTTTTCTTTTCCTTGTAATTTTGTATATTGTTTATTATATTGTATATTACATTATATATTGTATATACAATATATAATGTTTAACATTGTATATTGTATATTACATTATCACTTAAATTAATCAGGTAGATAATAAGTTTTATTTTATTTTCTTTTTGTGAATGTTGTGTACATCTGTAATTGTCACTCATATCAGGTCCTAGATTTTATCAATTTTATCTGTTGTTTATGTGTGCTGAATATGTGTGATGTTGATGTACCCTTAAATAAATAAAGCAAGTTCTTAGTCTGAATTAAAATATAGTGTTAAGTGAAGTTGGTGTAGTAGAGGATTACTAAATATTTATAATCACAGTAACAAGTCGGTAGAGACCACGGCAACCCTAGCACCGTCCATTACCACCAGGACTCAAGACTGATAAAAAATGTACAGCCTCTTGGGACACCGTCAGTTGATAGATTTGCTCTCGATATTTAATTATTTAACTGAGCATCACATTGGCCTTAAAGTTAGTAATCTTGGCCTTCTTGAAATTTTATGTAAAACTTCATTCACAGTACAGCTTGGACTTGGTTGTGAACAGAAAATTACCTTTCATTTAATTAACCACGAGGGTTCTAGTGATTATTGGGAGGGGCTCCATCAAATTATTGTAGATGAACTATTAAGGTTAAGTGATGTCCCTGCCCATGAACTAGTGTCATCAGAAGTGTCATCACGCCCGCCCCGGTGTGTGTGTGTATGATGTATATATGTGTGTGTGTGTGTGTGTATGATGTAGTTGTTATTATACTTTTATTTTTAAAAATTATTTTTATTGGCTTATAATTATTTATTTTGTTTTTATTGCCTGTATTGTATTTATGGCCTTAAACCTTATTAGTTTATGTTTGTTGTAGCTTAAGTTTTTAATATTACTTAAGAGTTTATTACTTTGTTTTTAATTTAACAGTGCTGTAAATGCCTGTAGTAGTGTATCACACTGCACTGGTCCGTGAACTGTTATTACATAAGTGTTATTGTGAATATGCCGATGATGTTTCAAATAAATAAAATAAAAAATAAAAATGTTTGTGTGTGTGTCTGTTTGCGTGTTCCACTCACCACGTTGGCGGCCGACACGTCCGCCAGGTCGGAGGCGTCGTGTATGCGCGCGAGCCTGGACCGCAACTCTGGGGAGGCGCACACTGTCATACACTATACTACTGGACCACATATGGAACAACTCTAACACACTACACTATGTTACAGCTTATTCATTGGTTCGACAAACATAATGTGTGAGTTTGTTCGCTGAGTGTGTGCTAGACTTGTAAATTATAGCACACATAACCGACCGGGGATCGAACCCATGACCGTGACATTGTATAACAACAGATGAACCCTCACCGGAGTTGAGGTGGAGCGCCGTGGAGAGGTCGGACCGGAGAGACGCCACCAGCGGCGGGGCCTCGCCCTCCGACCGGACACGGGCACGCTCCCTGGACTGAAAGGGGAGGGAGGGGGGTTAATATAGAGTGAGACGAGCGAGCGGCGCGGGGGCGGGGCGTGGAGTACCAGTGTGGCGACGACACCCTTGAGGCTGGCGACCAGGTCCTTGGCCAGCACCGTGAAGTCCTCCCGCAGCTGGTGGTCCGGAGTGAGGCTGGACAGAGGGGCCGGCGGGAGGGACTCTGCGCCCGGCAGGGACTGGGGGCGAGTTGCGGCGCACGCTGACGGACACACGCGGCACGGTTAGTACATGAACACACGGGGAATGATGAAAGAAAAATTATAAATGAAACACGCCGCGGTTACAGCAAACACTCCTACATGATGTAACACTATACATGTATATTATTATAACACTCTAAGTGTGTGATCTGTCCTACGATGCATGTTCTACACTACACCTACTGCACTAATGTTATCAAACTATACTCTATACTGTGGGTTCTCTCGTCTGACGTCATGCGTACTGAGATGAGTGAGTTCACTACCGACTAGTAGTTATGACGGTGGCCGTTGATACTGACAGTCTGAACGATCGTCCCGCAGCCGACACTAGTCCTAGTAAGTAAGTGTATCATGTAACTCACTGCTCCGCGGCTCGGTCTCAATGAGCATCATCTTCATATAATAGAACAGTACTCGTCCGAGGCGCGCCAGGAGCCCGCCGCTGTCCGCTGACATTATTCCTTATGATAGTAAGTCACTAACCGACCGTGTAATTTTATTTTCATGTATGTAGTATCGTCGCGGCTCACGGTCGGATGATCTCTCGTGAGATAGGTTACGTAATCCCTGATAACACTAACATGATAACAATCCGTGACGTAATAACACAGCGACACATGAGTCGACAGTATCGAGTCGGATAAACACCATTATATTATATAGTGAGGTGTGACGCTATCACCTACATAGTTTAGAGTTCGCCTCTCGATACTCCTGGCCGTATGGACACGAGGCTCAAGGTAAACAGTATATACAGGGTGACTTGTGAATTACTATCGATACTTGAGGACGTGATATTTGACGATCATATATGACAAAATAAAAATTAATATAACATAAATATTAATAAACTTCTAAGTAAAGTTAACCAAAAGTTATGTAATTAATTACGCATCGTGTCAACACCCTACAGATTAGGTATACACACACACTCACATATACGCGAGCGGCGGCGTGTTGTTGTATCAGCACGCCGCCGCACGCGTCCACACTTGGAACACTTGGAACGTGTACACACTTTATTTATTTATACGGAAATTTGGTCAAAAATTAAGTACCTATTTTTTTTACATAATTCGAATGAGAATCATGTACCGAGTATGCTCCTTAAATATTGATAGTAATTCACCAGTCACCCTGTATAAACAAGTACACAATCTCTTTCAAACACTATTCTGTTTATACGCTACTGGTGGAATCTTTATTTGTGTGTGCTTCGTGTTATTTTCATTATATCGCCTATCCATAACTAGACTCCATCAATTCTTTTCCCGTTTTAGATTCCGTCGAATTGTTTAATTAGTTAAGCCGTAACAAGGTTGTAGACGGACAGACTGACAACCTAATACATATCGATACAAGGATCTATAAACGAACCTCAATAAAGTTCTCAATAAAATTAAAAATAAATTAGAGAGCATTTTCAAACCGATGTCGAGTGTCATTTCATTAAAAGAGACATGATTATTTTATTCAAAAATGGTACTGTAAGAAACTTATAGTATTTATTTCTTCACCATAGGAAAATAGAGAATTTAACGAACAGAAAACACACCAAATTTTTGAAAAACGCTGATATTTTGACGGGTGATTTTTCGGTATTTATTCAAAATAAGCTGAAAAAATAAATACATAGTTCTTATCAAATAAATTACAGTGCATTTGTAACATCAAAAGGAAAGTTTTCACCAAATTTCGTGACAAAAAATTGTTTTTTTATAAGAGATGAAAATAAAGAAACAAAAACTTGGTTTTTCGAATTTATCACATAAATTTTCAGGTTATGTGAAAAAAATATTAGTACAAAAGTTTTAGAGTTTTAGATTTACCTACAGCTTTGCCATATAACATTTTTCCGTAGGACTTTTAGTTTTGGAGGAAATCGAGAAAACCCATTTTTTACCCTTAAATACAAATCCCCATACCCTTCCTGACCTCAGACCGCCCGTAAATTATTTTTCCTTTAAATTTTATAATATTCCCCTCCTTTTCTAATGAGTTTCATTATACTATAATTTAATTATTTTTTAAAAGCTATCGGCACTGGTCTATAATTAATAAATGTATTCGTCTTTTATGCAACAACAATATTATTTAAAATTTGAAATTATGTGAATATTGGACTATAACGATGAATACGTATGAGAAACAAAACAAAATATCAGAGGATATTTGTGCGCCGGCCTCCAGACCGCACACATTTATGTATTCACGAATTTTGATGCGCATTGTTATAATAGAGCTTACAGTTCCTTGGGAAATCAACATCCACAAAGACCATGCCATTAAGGCCAATAAGTATTACGAGCTCAATAACGAACGCACTCGAAATAGGTTCGTCGTTGATTTGTACGCGGTAGAGGTGGGAGCGAGAGGTATAACAACTAAATCTCTCTATAACCTACTAAAAGATTTGGGCCCGTCCAGAACTATTATAATATCAATTCATTGTTGGAACGTACGTCGAAGCCAGCCCTAGTGGATTCTTTTCAATCTTGGTTATGTAGAGAGAGGAGCTTGGACAGTGGAAGAAACGTTTAACGCGCGTTAGATTGGAGCTCTTAAACTTATACCCGGATCGGAAATTCCTGTTACTGTTGAAGCTTCTTTAAATAAACCCGGCACCCGCACCGTGAATACATTGAATGATAAGAGGTTTCGTCTCTTTAACATTATGACAGTACCTAAGAAACATTCAAATCTGTATCTGATACACGTCGACCGTACGACACGCGTGTGTGTGTGGTTCATATAGTAGTAGTGTAGCGGCGCGGGTCGGATGAGTCGCTAGGCATGCATCGGAGGTGTGGAGGAAACAAAACATAAAACAAAATCTTACGAACTAAGGTCGAGGCCAGAAATGTGGAAAGAAAAACTGGAAGACAAACAAAATGTGCCGTTAAACATTGACCACGAACATGGCTATAATACAATAATATACTATTGGTTTGGCGACACTCATGGACCTATATAATATAATCAGGTGATATGAACCGGCGACCGCGAGCGACGACTCACCTATCTCGTAGAATCCTTGTGAAGACATAGTCATAAAACTTTATTAAAATTAAAACGCTCCTCGCAATGAAACAATACATTTTATATAAAAATAAATAAACGAATACAACATAATAATATATTAAAACGGGACAGTATAAAAAGTGTTCACGAAGAGACACACACGGGTGACACTAGACATGCGGCCGGGACCCGACCAGCGGGAGGGAGGGGGGGGGGGGGGGGGGGTGGTAGCTCACTCACCGATGGGCAGCGAGGCCGCGGAGGACGGGACGGAGGCCGACCCGCCGCCGGGGGAGGGGGGCGCCGGCACCGTGGACAGGCACTGTGGACACGAGGAGCTCACGTTAGGCTGGTCGGGGTGGCTCTGTACAGTAAACAGTGAATGTATGTGAGGGTAGTAACCATGTGCGAGGCGGCCAGGTCCGCGTGCGGCGCGTGCAGCTCCGCAGTCGAGCCCTTGCCCGACGACTTCTTCTTGCGCAGACCGAACTTACGGCGGTCCTTCTTCACGTTAGGAGACGCGCCCTCCAGAGACACCTGCGGACACAAGTAGGTACTGTAACCACCGCCACACGCAAACACACACACACACACGCGCTCAGTATACCGATGGACGGACTACGGAGGGAGGAGGGAGGAGGGACATCTTGACGTGACGTCACGTCACAACCACACAACTTCTACTCGCTTTATATTAGTCTGAAAATATTATTCATATTAAAGGACTCTGTTGACTGTTGACTTCGATATAATATGATTATTTGTAAACTGATACACACCTGGAGACTGACGGTCTACTTATACAGGGTGACTGGTGAATTACTATCGATACTTGAGGACGTGATATTTGACGATCATATATGACAAAATAAAAATTAATATAACATAAATATTAATAAATTTCTAAGTAAAGTGAACCAAAAGTTATGTAATTAATTACGCATCGTGTGAACACCCTACAGATTAGGTATACACTCACACTCACACATACGCGGACGGCGGCGTAGTGTTGTATCAGCACGCCGCCGCACGCGTCCACACTAGGAACACTTGGAACGTGTCAACACTTTATTTATTTATACGGAAATTTTGTCAAAAAATAAGTGCCTATTTTTTTTATATATGTAATTCGAATGAGAATCATGTACCGAGCATTCTCCTTAAATATTGATAGTAATTCACCAGTCACCCTGTATACTTGAATTGATGGATTTGAAAAAAGGTCAGTTGTAAGTGTGTGTGTGCTCACATCTGTGTCGTGGTGCTGCTGTTGCTGCAGCTCGATGGCGGCCAGCAGCCGCTGCAGCTGCTGCACGGACAGCTGCGCCTGGCCCAGCTCGCGGGACGCGCTCTCCAGGGGACAGCCGGCCTCTACACGCGCGACACAAACACGAACACATCAACAAACATGTCGGAGGGCTCTCGTCAAACTCATATAACCGATACTTAAAACACATGCAAAGATATTAAAGGCAGAGCATGCTCGGTCTGGTCGCTACACGTGTACACCGGGAGCCGCTCGTGTCATGTCATACCGAGGATCCATCCTGCAAAGCGTCCCCCGGGCGTGCCGGCCACGAAGCCAGCCTGAGGCCCTCGGGCGGGCGTCGGACTGACCAGTCCTGGAGAAATAAGGACCAAGTCAACCACATCAGCTAATCCTGGAGCCGGTCTCGACTACTATACATCTATGTATATAAAATATCCGTTTCGTAAGTCAGTACGTGAGGTAGGTTTACGCTGTAAGTTTGGTCCTTGTTTCTCACGCAAGAAACGACACGTGACGTCATCATCGGTCCAGATTGAGGAGGGACTTACAGTAACATCACTACAGTCTACAGGAGATACAAGAAACACTAGGAAGGTATCACACCTACAGGAAATGTTAGTCTCATGCTATAAAGGAGCGAGATGCATCGTTAATTAAATCTAAACGCCTAGTCACAACACTACATGTGAGTCTACACGCTGGCTAGTATAAACATCACAACTGACCCTCGACACAAACATATTCTATTGTTATTCAGTTCTATCAGAGCGTGTCCTAGGTATTTGTAATTGTCTACAGAATACAGATGTTCGGAAGGTGGGGGAGGTGGACTAACCGGATATGTAGGAGGTGTCGCTACTACATCGGTAGAGGGTTTGGAGGTCGTCGCTGAGGTCGCTCTGAACGATAAAGTTTAACATCGAACATGACTTCTTAGCCTCGTACTTGCGGCTCATGAACAGCTGGTACACTTGGTAGTCGGTGGTGGCTGGTTTGTTCCGCAGACATCGCAGCTTCTTCTCCGTTTGTGACTGTGTGGACACTTTGAGTTGCGGAGAAAAAAGTGCAATCTCTTTGATCAGATTCTGTCTTATTTCTGGAGATGGCTTTCTAATGTTTTTAAACTTCTTCGTCGCTACAGCTTCCTCGTCGTTCCTTTTTACACTTCTTTTCCTAAAGCGGAAGTTCTGCGAGCTATCGGCTTTGTCCCACATCGACTTCACTATAGTGCTGATAGCGCAGTCTTTAGTACCGTTCGCTGTAGGGAAATCTGGCCTGGATGTAGCTCGCTCCGCGGTTCGATGATCTTCTTCACTAAACATACTACTGAAGGATGACGTCTGAGTACTGCTCGTGTTGTAAGTGTTAAAAAATATGTTTCGTCTTGGTACATTAAAAGTGTTTCTCGTGATACTGTCCTCATTCACACCGACCTGAATATATTTACTCAGATTTTCTGTTTTTAAAATCAGGCCCGTGGCTTTGTCACTGACGCGTTTCTTAATATGATCGTTGCTGGTGCTCGTTCCGGTGTCTGTGGTGAGGAACGTTACAGCCCTTGGACATATAGTTTCGTCGAATTGAGTTTCGATCTCTTCCGCGCCTTTGGAAAAAGAATCGTCTTTATAAATCTTCCCCAATAAACCCAATCTGTTTGATCTGCTAGTACTTGTAGACATTTTTTCATGTTTTTTCCGTAACTTCATGTAAAAGTTATTAATTTCCTTATTAATGTTTGGAACATTTTTTGATACTTTCGTTAAATTCTCCAGAACTTTTAGTATATAGGCCTCGTCTATAACCTTGGGTGTTTTGTCAAACATGGACGTATGGCTTTGACTGAGGTGTAAAGTGACACCTCGCTCACGTTCGCTGGTTAATGTTTTTTTCTTCTTGTGTTTGGATTGTGTGAGTGATTTCCTTTTCTTCAATGATAGAATGTAACACGACTGCATGTCGTCATCGTATGTTTTCTTCTTCGAGTCTGTTCCTTCCCTCTGTACCTTGTTGCCGGTCGTTTTCGATCTGTACTCTTCACATATTCCACAACTTAAAGTGGAACAACTTTTTATTTTAATATCGTTTAATATTATTTTATCGCTCCCCTCGTGGCTGCTCATGTATGGTCGTAACTCTTTAGCTTCTCTGTCGACATACTCCTGCATGTTCTGATAGGAGATTCGTGTTAATGATATACAGTTTGCTGATTTCGTACAGAATATTCTATCAGATTGGGAATTCTTCAGTGGAAATATATCACTTACATCTATGTCGGATGTGTCCGCGAACTTTAAGTTTAAGTTCATAGACTTACTCTCCCCAGAATACATTGGTTTCTCTTTTAGTTTCATTATTATTGAAGGCATTCCTTTAACCGATGGATCGTTTTTCAGTGATATATGTTCGAGGTCGTATTTAGATATATCTATGACAAGGGAAGTTTCTCCGCAACTGTCTTTTTTAAAGAGGTCAATTTCATTGTGAACTTTCATTCCGGTCCAGTCTTTACTATACTGTCTCTTCGCATTTGCAATAACATTTCTTGAGAAAATAGTTGTTATAGTATCGAGTATGTTCTTAAGATACATCTGTCCGGAGTCACCGCCGTGTTCCTTGCTCGGTGATCCGTCTTCTTTGGTCGAAACCCCTTTCGAGAGTCTCTTGTTGACCGGTTCAGCTATAATATCACACTTGGCACTAACGTTTGCGTGCTGTTCTTCAGAAGACGACGTGGTCTCTTCATCACTGTGACCCTGTCGCAGGAGGTTTAAATAAGCCCCAAAGAACTCTTTGGCCACGTCGGGTGGTATGGAGGTCTCGCTAATAAGATGTTTTATTGTTTCTTGTAGTTTTGGTAGTTCGTTCGATGAATTAGAGTTATCGCATGCACTTTCTTCGTCTGATTTGGTTAAATTATTTTCATTTGGGAATTTATCGAGGCTGCTAATAATTTTCTTGGTTATTTTGATATCTTTCTCCCTGCTGTGATTGCTCTGAACCGTTTCACAGATGTAAATGGTATTTTTAAGTATTCTTTCCAGTTCTTGTATTCGTCTTTCTTTTTCGAAGCTGTCATTTATCTTGCACGCCAGCCTGTTGTTCTTGCCAGGGTTCTGTATGGGGATCTCGAAGGCCTTATCTTTAATCAGATCACTTATCCCGCGGAACTGAGTGGATCGTGATGTCTGCGGCACGGTGATGTTGGACGTCGGCTCGTCTCTTGTAAAATATCTATTAGATGGCCGGTGGATGGATTTAGTTATCTTCGTGCCGTTCCTCCAGTTTTCGGAGGAGGTGTTATGTAACCAATATTCTAACAGGCTTCGGAACAGGTTTCTGACGGGATGGTCCCCGGTATCATTCTGTTTTATCTCATACAACTCTTTGATGACCTGGTTAATGCAGTTCTTGGTGAAGGAGTCCTTACTGTTGTTGGAGACGACTGATACCATCAGTTTCTCAGCGATGGTGTCGTAGTCTTCTGGTGACAACGTGTTCTGTATATCTTTGTGTTCTCTGCTGGGTGTTGTTTGTATGTCCACTTGTTTCGTGCCCGCGTCCTCGTCACAGTCGTTCAGCGTCAGTGAGTTGTACTGCATCAGTTTATATTTAGTCAACAGCATGACTTTACTCAGAGGTTTCCTGAGTCGCGGCTCGTCCTGTATGTTTCTGTATCTAACAACGTTGGTGCACTTCTTACTTCTCCTAATCAATGGCTTGTCTTCTCCCTTTTCTTTCCTGGTGAAGAAGTAGTACGCGGGCGTGTCTGTTCCGTCCACGTCGGTCACGCTGTGTGTTTGTTTGTTATATTTTTCATCGAAGGATGTTTCGGAGGAGCAGGCGGTGTCGCAGTATGTCATATGGCTCACATTATTTTCACACTCCTGTCTCTCGTTGATGGACATCATGAGAGTTATATTTTCGTTTCTCTTAATCTTCTCGTTTCTGTGAGCGGCCTTCAGTCTTTTGTTTTTCATGTGTATATTCTTTTCCATATCATCTATAACTGTGAACAGTTCTTGTACCGCGTTTCTGTCTCCGCCGTACTTCGCCGCCGGTCGTTTGTTGAACGCGTTCTTATAGCTCGTTTGCACGTCGTACAGCGTGTACACCAAGCTGTTCGTTCCCCATTCACGTGTAACTTTTTCATCGTACATCTTTCTGGAGATCGTGTTCCCTACAGGAGGAGGAGGGGTTCGGGATCAGGTATCATACAACAGACTCATCGCTCTCTTAACAATATCTACATAAACCTCACAAAACATTCCCTTAATGTATATCAAGTCATGCTTCTATATTGTTAAGTAAACGATACAAGCTCTAATATAAAGTGTAGTTATCTACCTAATCCGTTCTCTTTGGCTTCATCTATACAAAGAAGAAGAATGAATTAGTCACGTGTGGTACGTGTACATAGATTATATCAGATGTGTGTGTGTGTGACTCACGTGAGGGGGTGTCCGCGGGGTGTGCGGGCAGGTCGTCGGGCGCGTGTATCTTGGGGACCGACTCGCGCGCACCGAACGTGAGCAGGTGCTGGCGGTACAACCTGGAACAGGTCACGTGACACACTACACACGAGAACAACAACATCACATGAACTCAAGTCTTAAAACTAACAAGATTTTTCTACTATGAAATATTTGAATACATGATCCTGAAATTATTTAAACTTTGTTCATTAGTAACTGTGATTAGTACAATAATAGTGATAGAATCTATTTACGTATTCATTATTTAGTTCCTCACTTCACCAGTTTATAATTTCATTTTATTTTTCATTATATTTTTATTGCAGTAACTTGTTCATATTTTTCTGTGTAAAATTCTTTATATTTATTGTAAGTGTATTTTCTTATATCTACATATATGTATACTACAATGTATTTTGAAGTGCTGATGTATTTTTTTTTATAAGTGAAATATTTAGTATATAATCTGTGTTCACATAGTTGTTGGGTTATAACTCAGCTTACATATTTATAATGTTTACTTTTAAATTAATTGTATATTTAGTTATAATCTGTTTTGTGAACCGTAAATAAAATAAAAAAATAATCGTTCTAATTTAGTTCTAATACATTACAATGGTTTTTTCCATAGCTCGACTATGTTTGTATACGTCACGTGTGTTCAGTACAGTACCGGTGCGCCTTCAGTACATTGAGCCAGGTGCGGAACACGTCGGGCGTCTTGGCCCGCAGGTGGTATATGAACTCGTCAGCGTCTATGTCGATCCGTCTGCGGCGCGCCTTGGCCGATATGACGGACAGCCCCACGTCCACGGAGCCGTGCAGCCGGCCGCGGGACACGTCCGCCGCCGAGCGCGCGTACACCAGGATACCGCCGTCTATCACGAAGAAACGCTGCGGAGGGGGAAAGAGTTGTAGTGTTAGTTTATAACACATGAGTCAGTAGCGGCGACAGTGGACGCTCACCTTGTGCCACCCCTTGAGCGGCCACTTCCTCTTCTTGTGGAGGTACCCGTTGAACACGTCGGGCCGCCGGTCGAACCTCTGGCCGTCCTTGAGCCCCTCCAACACCTCCCACTCGCTGCCTCGCCGACGACTGCTGATAGAGAATCTTCTGTTAATAGATTACGGCTACGTTCATAATAATGACAATGACCTTGACAAACTTTGGGAGTCAGAGAGGGGGGGGGGGGTTTATAGAATACACGTCGAATACTACGGACACTAGTCACTCATACTTGACGTGGATACTCGTGGACATGATAAATGTTATAAATAAACAAAATATTATGGACCTTAACAATTTTTTCTTCTCTTTTAAAACTCTTTAGCTATAAGATCGACAAATTGATTCAATGTAAGAAGATAATATTTTTGATAATTTATACATATATTTTATAACTCTTACTAAAAACTCGAATACTACTTGATGTGAAATTTTGAAGCAACTTTAAATTATATACAACTAGCTTTCCGCCCGCAGCTTCGCCGCGTGGAGTTCGGTTATATCGCGTTTCCAAGAGAACCTTTCAAAAGTCTGGGATAAAAACTATCCTATGTTCTTTCTCAAGGTCAACTCTATCTCTGTACCGAATTTCATTAAAATCAGTTCAGTGGTTTAGGCGTGAAAGCGTAGCAGACAGACAGACAGACAGACAGAGTTACTTTCGCATTTATAATATTAGTAGGGATGAACCACGTAAAGAAAGTCTGTTTTTATATATTTTTATTATCTTTAGACTGATAATATGTAAATTGTTCACGTTTAATAATTATATCAAAACATTTAAGCCAATCTACTTTCGACTAACGTCTTAGTATTCGGAGTAACGAAACATAAAAGTCCAAAAATAATTAAATGTATGATTTGGTGATATTCAATATCGGTTATGGCAATGATATTATTAGTACATGGTCCATGTTCATCCAGGCCTGTGTGTGAGGTCAAGTTATAGTGGTAGTATGGTTACCTCCTATTCTTAGCGGTCCTCGTAGTGGGGGGCGCGGGCCTGGCGGGCCTGTCCCCGCTGTCCGCCGACAGGGAGGCCGTCTCCCCCGAACAGTCCGAGTCCGAGGGGGCCCGACGTAGAGCGGCCGCCCGGCCCGCCGCGCCGCGACGCCTCTCACCTGACATACACAGGGTAGAATGAAATAACGAGGAACGAGTCAATACACGTTATATATGGTAATGTGTGAGTTGTTGTAGTCAAAGCGAACAACTTGTACTGATAAATGATGATATCAGTTAAATGGTGTACATAATTTATTATTAATTACATATTACATTAAGAAAAATGGATTGAAACCTGTTGTTATCTAGTTCACATACTTAGAAAGGAAGGGTTTTGTATGAACTCCTTAATAAATATTTCTTTAACACAAGTTATTCGCAAAAGTCCTTAATTTAAATTTATAAAAATATTAACAGTTATGACAAAAAATGTTGACTCAGCAGATGTTTAAAGATCAAGTGTTAGCGTTGTTTCATTTGAATTAATTATCATATGTTTAACAAACACAAAAGTAACATTGAGGTAAACATTCAAAATAATAAAGAGCAATCGTTCTCGTGTCATCTCAGCCGAGCTCCACACTTTACTGACTGGAGACAACAACATTGTTAAGAATCTCCTTCTTATTCTCAATTTGTATCTTGGAGGAATATATGTATAGTATTGTAAGCTAGTCACCGTACTTCTTAACAGTAGACAGCGCCATGGTGGCACGAGAACACTTCTTCCAAACACACTACACTCCATTCAAGTCAATACTTATATTATTTGACACCATCTCCTTAAATTTTATAAGTATAATATTAACTAAACAAAACTTTTTAGCATTCAATGTATTCACGGTGCGTGTGTCAGGTCCATCGTTGTCGTGAGAGGAGCTTCAACAGTGACTGGGACTGTGATCCAGGTGTAGGTTTAAGGGGCTCCTATCTAACGCGTTAATCGCTCACCTCCACTGTCCAAGCTCCTCTCTCTACCTAACCAAATTTGAAAAGAATCTACTAGGTCTGCCTTCACAGTACGTTCCAAGAATGAATGATATTTTTGTCGAATATTTGTAAAGGAATTGTTTCGTTTCGATTAATTTCCTTATCGGAGGTTACTGTAAACTCCTTATCTCCTGTTTTTCCACATCAAGTCTTAATCCGTGATAATTCAGTGTTAGTGAGTCATGTGTCGTCGTGTGTTTACAACTTTATCTGTTTCATATCTGTAGTTGAGTCGGCTGCTAACTGTGTCACAGTGAGCTGGAGGAAGTGTAGCAATAACTATATGAGTTTGTATCACTTGAAGGCACGCCCGAGCATTTCCATAGTAATGACACTTGCTTATACAAACAATCGTTTATGTTCAAACATTATATATTTTATATAGAACAATGTATTTAGTGTTATGTATTAAAGTAACGACATCGATATCATATCTGTTGCTGAATAATAAATTAGTCCATATCTTCATACTTTTTATTTCTTTAAACGACACATTGTTTTAAATGTAAGTGAATATTAATAAAGGTTGTATTTCTTCCTCCACCAGTATCTAACATCTGAGTATCTCAATACTTCAGTTCTGTACAGATACACCTCAGTTCTCGTCTGTCCGTGTGTGTGGTCTGTCTGTTTGTTCGTCATGTCCATTTGAGTATATGTGTAAGGTGTTCGTTCAATGTGGCAGGTGTCACTACTAATGCTCGTGTGGCTCCATGCTCAATTAATAATAACTATATTCGTCCTTGAACTTTTTTTTATCCACATTAACCTGTGTCACTTCTAAGTCCGCAGCTGTCTCTTATATTAGTGTATGTGGAAAGCTGTAAGTTTTCGTTGGTCGTATTCATGGAGCGTTCAAGTATTACGTAACGCAATTTTCGAAGATTTTTGACCCCCCCCTTCCCCCGTCGTAACGCACAGTAACGTTTTTCTGTAGCCCCCCCCCCCTTCTCAAAACGTTACGTAACACTCAAGTGATCAATTTCATCAAAAGACTTACAATGCAATCTATGTATTCCCCGTAAAATATCAATTAAGAGGTTTGCAAACTTAGAATAACAAATAAAAATATCGACCTGACTAATACAATCTGGTCAACATAATGTAACGTATATGAAAGGAGTTGCCAGTTTGGGGGTTTTTATTAATATATTTTTTTAGAAACAATGCTACGTAACGTTTTGTTAGAGACACCCCCTCCCGCCCCTGTAACGCATCGTAACGTTTTACGAGACCCCCCCTCCCCCAAAATTGCGTTACGTAATACTTGAACGCTCCCTCTATACTAGGACGGTTTTCACTATTTATTCATGTTAATTTCCAATGTTCTTGTCACCTCTGTCTGGAGAACAGTAAAGTACAAAATTAAACTAATTAGTTCCCATTTTCCAATGATTGTTATGTCACATGCCTCATAGTAGATCAACATGTCTGTAGTATATTAAACGAAGAGTCGAAATAGTTCACATTCGTATTTCCGTATTACACGTTAACATACTGTTTGGATCCATAAATGATACAATAAATTATCTTCATTTTTTTCTTCTCATGAAGTTATAACTGTTATTGTTGTATTATCTAGTGGTACTTCCTAGTTCCTGTGACATGTTTTAACAATCTGGGGTACGTACGTTCTAAGAGCGCCTGCTAAAAATGAGGCTCGGAACATATAGTTGTATTGATTGGTTTTCCCTAAACTGCTGAGGTGAAAATACTGAAGAGATGAAAAAAACAATACAACAATATTTTACAACTCGTAAACTGATCATCATGATGTATACAACTCTGTTGTTCATCTAGTAGACACGAACACACAGTCAAAAACGACTACAGTGGAGGTGAGCCAAACTGAAGTAATATTTACAAAGTGAATGAAAGTTAGCGGACCACGAACACAGAGCTATAGTAATGAAAATAATGAGAAATACTTTGTAGACATAAATAAGAGTTGGAAGAGGGAGAAGTCTTGTACGATTATAATGTACCGGTTACATCTATTTATTGATATGACATAAAAAGGCTTGTTTTTATGTCATTTTCATTCAATTTCCTCAAAGTGTGTCGTAACATTCAACGGTAGTATGTATAAATATGTTACTTCGGAAACGCTCTCAGAGAAATATATTAAAACATATGAAAACGATAGAGAGATATCAATATTCTACGTCACGTTACTTTATACACAATACATGTGTTACACCGCGATCCCTCCCGACGAACACGGAATGAAGGGACACAATAAACCCAAGAGGGTTTATTGGTAATAAAGATATTATTCTTAAAAGTAACATGACTTAAGTTTCAGTCAAAATCCGTCAACAAGTTCTTGTATCAAAGAGCAACAATCTCCATTATCTTCTAATTTAGCATTTACAAAACAAGAAGGAAAAGAAATATTCGACTTTTGCAGAACATATGTACGTACTTTATTGTAGTTATAAATAGAAAATACATTATACAAAGAAATGAATTAGTTACAACTAACACATTGATAGCAGTCATAAAATAAATAGGTTTTCTTTAATTCCATGTTTGATAAACGCTTTAAACTTATCAACACACTGACACCGGGCCATAAATACCTACTATTATAATAAAAATTATCAAAATATTACTTTGAAAAATGAATTCGTCATGTTTATGTGATTGTCAATTTTGTTTTCTTATTTCAGAACTAATGTATGGTAAAATACTTTGTGACATTAAAATAAAGTAGGGCGATGACGAGTTACAGGTATATATGTATATATACGAATTTAGTATGTACAGAGAAAAATAACATTGTTTTAAAATCCTCAGCTTGATGTTTATCAAATAATTAGAGACTGGATTATTGATAGTATAATGAAATATAATATGATAGAAAAAGAACTAGACATACAGGTAACGATCGTGGGACAAGCGTGAAGCGTGAGCTGTAAGGGAAAAATACGAAGAAATGTTGTCCGAAAACAGAAGATTTTATCTGAGGAGAACTTCATCTCAAGGCATTTAGAATAATGGGGTGTATTTTAAAATATGACTTTGGATTCTGCAAAGTATAAGAGGAATACGGGATATTTTCCGCTGATAATTAAAAAAAGGAATAGGGCTGTGAAATTAAAATAACTGCTTTATCTGTACACAAAGAGAACCCGTGTTACGCGAACATAAAATTATTAAATTAAACACCGAATGCTGACACCGCGGAATCCATGGGAATGAAATGCAGAAAGAGAACACCACGGCTTCCCGAGTCATTGTAAATCAGTTTTAAAATTATAAAATCTTAAATCACTTCTTCGCTCAATCGTGTAACGATAGGTCGTCTTTAGAATAAAGTAATTATAAGTAAATTTTGGTTTCTTTGGACCCTCCGGCTGTAGTCGACATAATTCCCGCGAGTTTTTGTACCTATTACAAAATATTTACTATTGAATCATATTTTTAAAATATACTTATTTATCTCGTAACTTTTATAGAAGTTTCTCAACCAGTCCACTGAGGACAGTATGTACGATGGCCGACTTTACTGACGGTTTGGCTCACGATACTTTGTGTTGGGTTGTTTACTAGAGACTGACATATTTTAAAGAATAATGTATCAAAGCAGTGTCACAAGTTACATTCTAGAGATGATCGTTGTTATCGTTTACCAAATGTAGTAAGTACGGCTCGTTCTAAGCGCCGTCATAATTTTCAGCTACTCAACCAATTTATACTTTTGTTTGTGAAGGAATTTTGTTCACAGACAGTGTGTGTGTCCTACAGATAACAATGCTCAAGTTTAAAACGACCTCGAAAAAGCTTTGCTAAACTGAATGTATTGAACTAACGCGGTGTCGTACTAATATATGTTACGTATTGCTGTAAAAATATATTTCTTTGTAACAATACTTATTTAAGGCTTATCATATAATACCATTACTGAACTGGGAGCATTGTTTGACCGACTTCACATACGAGTGTTGTGTGTTACTCACGTTTCTCATCCATGGCGGCGTGTTCCGTGGCCGCGTGTTTGAGTCCCGGCTGGGCGGCCATGGTCCTCCCTCACTGACGCTGACCGACACACATCTTGACACTGAAACAACACCGAACATGTTACTACTGTTGTTGAACATAACAACAGTTTCAACAACAGACAGCACAATGTTATGTTAGAATTATCAAGGTGTTGTACCCGGCTTGTTGTATTAATGAATATTTGGCATTCAATCCCATATGATAGTCGTACTTAGCGTTACATTTAGTTAGATATAAAAATAATATTGACGTCAGAGTGATTAAGATAAAGATTATGGGTGTCGTCTAGGATGACGCGACCTTATAATTACACACATCTTTATATATACAATTCTTCTGTGAGTGTGTAATGTGTTTGTCACTGAACTTCTCTTTTTTGTGTGTGTTCAAGGGGATCTGGGAATGGTTTAGATTCACAATTTTGTCCGCTGGACAATGTTTTTTTAATTAATTTTAATCTATTAGTAGTTGTTGATACAAACGGTTTTTTTGACATTAGATTTGACAACTGACTAATATGTCAATCTTTCTGTCGCACTTCAAAACACGGAGATTTATGGCTTTAATAGGTAAAAACCAAAAATATAAATAAAAAACGTAACAGATATTTCTTGATTATAGAGAGATACGAAGTTCTCCGGGTCTTCTAGTATACATATATAATTAAAATGAACCTCGCCTGTCAGTGAGAATATCACATGGTCGAATATCTTATATATATACAAGATATTGAATATTGCGACTAGATGTTTAACCTCGTTATAAACATTCGTTCAAGGTGCGTGGTTGTATGTGTGTATGTGTGTCGATGTTCATTAAACATCAATTAGTCAATATATGGATCCAATCAATTAGTATCGTCATTACCTGACTCAGTCATTACAAGTTAAAGTATTCTTAACTATTAAATATTATTTACAACACATATTATATCTTTACATATGAGTTGATTCTTAATATTTAAATCTGTTGATACTGTCAACTTCTGTAGTTTCAATGTTATATTATCTTTATATTTGATTATTGTTTCATTTTTCTGTAACATCAGTATTTAATATATAACAGGTAGGTTCCTTCACAGACATTTGTCTATCGCACTATAATCTATAAGAACGACTGTACGGATATAGTTGAAAATTGGTGGAGAGATAGCTTAAAACCAGGAGACGGATATAGAATATTTAATGTTTAAAAAAAAGAAAACTGAAATAAATTCCAATATCTGGTTATTTTTGGAATATAGTTCGCCCAGTCAACTATACAATAGTATATAACTAATGTCATAATTTACGCAGATGACGTAGCGGACAAAAGTTAGTATTTATGTTATATGTATTTAAAAGAATATTTATTTAGTACACGATTTGTGTGACAGACAGCAGCTGGTGTGACCAATGTATATAATGAATAAATATATATAATAATATAACATGTACATATATATATTATCGAGTCTAGTCGAGTCCTCGGTGTAAATATTTTAATTGTAGTTAATAATTATTATTAGTCGGTGTAACTTTAACTTCATGTAATATTTGTAACATGCATGAACTGTATGTTATATTAATTGTATGGATCCTCCAAAACACGTAGGACGGACGTGACGTCATCAGGGAGGCGTGTGGAGGGGGGGGGGCGAGGGAGGAGCGGTCCCTCAAACACTAATAATACATATTTTCCATGAGTTTCGTCAACAAACATTATGTTTATATATAAATACAATTTTATTTCAGTAATTATTATAGATTGATCAAACTTATAATTACTTCATATGATTCAAGATCGCGTCGCTCAGTCTACATACAGACAGTATCGTATGATTGTTTGTAAACCCTTATCATTATATTATGGGTGTATAATGTGTACACTGTAGACTGGAGACATATTTATATATACATATGTATACAGGGTGACTGGTGAATTACTATCAATATTTTAGGAGAATACTCGGTACATGATTCTCATTCGAATTATGTAAAAAAAATAGGTACTTAATTTTTGACCAAATTTCCGTATAAATAAATAAAGTGTGTACACGTTCCAAGTGTGGACGCGTGCGGCGGCGTGCTGATACAACACTACGCCGCCGCGCGCGTATGTGTGAGTGTGTGTGTATACCTAATCTGTAGGATGTTCATACGATGCGTAATTAATTACATAACTTTAGGTTAACTTTACTTAGAAGTTTATTAATATTTATGTTATATTAATTTTTATTTCGTCATATATGATCGTCAAATATCACGTCCTCAAATATCGATAGTAATTCACCAGTCACCCTGTATATCTGTCATATCATGTACGTACGTCTTATTAACACCAGAGATCGCTAACCTGTATTGGTTCAATGTGAAGGAGACGAACTCAATGTTATGTTAACTCTGTAAACTGAGGTTTTAATTGAAATGTGAATCAACACGATAGAAGTTCGACTCGAGTAGAACTCACTCCCGATACACGTGTACAGTATATAAATACACACAAATTACATTGTAGAGGATCATTTACTTAACATTTCCACGCCACAATGTTAGTTACTGTACTCCTCCGAAACGGATTCACCGATTTTTAACAAAATTTATATGAGTATTCAGTAGGTCTGAGAATCGAATACTATCTATTTTTCATACCCCTAAGTGATAAGGGTTGTTCACCATTAACATTTTTTAATTTTCTTGAGAAAATTTATTGTTTTTTATTTTTTTATAATACGGCCTTAAAAATACATAGAACCCTAATTTTTTTTTATCGCCAACCCTTATTTTTTATATTACAAAATAGGTTTAGCCGGGTCAGCTAGTACATACATATAATTTGAATTACATCACGAGTAGGATTCGGGTATAAAGAGTATGTATGTATATTCATTAGGGACGGGAAATAACTAGTATAAATTTGAAGGGTTCCCTCGTGATGACGTCACTGATCTCTCACAGACCCTACCTTCATTCCGTGTATCTGAATACTGACTATACATATACCTTTATATCAAACTATATTATATCTCTGCTCCCTATGATTAACTGGAATCAAACTTAACTTTATACTGTATACTGTATATTTAATTTTACATTTCTCTCGTTTTAACTAAACTTTGTCGAAACATTCAAGCTCATAACTTTGAAGAAATTAATAATTAGGAATAGGAAAAACGTCGCGGTGGCCTAGTGGTTAAAGGCCCGCCTCTCATATATGAGGGCGCGGGTTCGAAACCTGGCAAGTTCCAATGTAATGTTTCCGAATCATATATACTTTCTAAGAGTATTTAGACACCACTGAAAGACGGTGAAGAAAAACATCGTGAGGAAACCTGGACTTATAATAGGAAATTGTAAGATTGAAATCACATATCTGACTTGAGCAAGCGTGGTGATTAAAACCTTCTCCATGTGAGAAGAGGCCTATGCTTAGCAGTGGGCTCTGATAAGCCGATGATAATTAATCAATGACTTTGATTCAGAATATTCTGAAAACATATTCTGTTCAATGACAAACATCAAATATAATATAGTGACATGAAAATATACAGGACGGATACAATTATCAACTGATAATGTTATTTCAAAAAAACTAGATGAGGAAGAGCAGGATATAAAGATTATATGAGTAAAGTGTACATCCATCCATCAGTTACATCACTACGAATTAATATTTATATCTTTCTCATATTAAATAATATTGACATGAATACGGTTTAATCTGACGAAAATCACATTTCCGTTATAAACATACTATAATATACAAATCTGTTTGAGAACTATGTACACAATAGTCTGTGCTACTTATATGTTGTTTGTAATGATCACTTGTATGTTGATATATATTATGTATGGGGAATTGTTATAAATTTTTAGTTAGAACACTAATACATACATGAGATATGTGTACATCGGTAAAATTAAAATTGATCCAGTTATCAATTTTAATGACTATATAATAATCTCTAAGTTGATAATGATAATGATGGAATGATAAATATAATACTGAGTAACTATTTATATATGATAAGTTATAAGAAGAGCAAACAGTTCACTATGACTAATGTAAGGCAGCGGGGAATATGATTTATGGAAGATACACAATATAATATATGTATATATAATATAATAATATATAATGATCCTTAACATAATATAATAAATTACTATTCATATAATATATAATACAGTAATTATTTTGACAATCATTTTAAAGTGTTTCCAATTAAATTAAATTTGAATATATGTGTATTGTATTCAAATTAGATTCATATAGAACAGAAAAAACACAGTAGTATATGTTACATAGTAACAATATATGTTGTAAGGATGTCTGTTATATAATGTAAGATACATTAAATTTAGATATATAAGAATTACTATTAATAATATAATATTACTATTAATAATATATTTATTACTTCTTTGAAACATTCCAGGTGATGTTTATTCTTATTTGATCATATAGATATACATATACTTCACCTAGCATCTATAATGATAGCATGTTCTTGCTATCTCTATATATTTTTTATTTTTAATGTAATTAAAATTTTAAATTAATGTTATTTGTTCTTTGTAATAAGTAGTTTGGTGTATCGTGGTAGTGAAATTCTACTGAACTCTTTAAAATTTAATCGCTAAAAAGGAAAAATCAAAGTGAATTATTGGGTCTTTGTTAGCATTGTGCTATCTAAATTGAAGAATATAAATAATATTTTGATCCAATACTAAAATATCTATGTAATACTACAAAAAGAGAAGAAAATATAATGTTAGCATCAGTTTGAAAACAGATTAATATTAATATGGTTAATGAAATGTTACTTAGTGTTTTCTCTAAGTTAGTAAGTTAGTTGTATATAACAGTATTTAGTTCATGTCTCACAGGTTCACAGCACACAGTGCTAGTGTTCTGTACTATGAGTTCACCTCACACCTCCCAGTGAGCGCTGCCTACATTACATCATCATGACATCACTTACATTATTGATTTTGTACAAGTTACTCATTGTTTTTGATCACCTCTACATGTTGTTAATTAATAAAAATATATTGTATGTTAAGAATAATGATTATACTATAGATGTTACATTTTTATACAAAATAATACAAAGTTAATTTAGCAGCAATTTCTTATTAGTGCCAATTTATTTTAAACAATGTATTTTTTTGTATACATACACATAATATGTATATAAAGATTGTATAATCGTGTTGAATAATAATTAGCTATAATAATTAAAAAACTTGAAGAATAACATTTTTTATATTGAATGATTTTAGTAGTCAATATTTTGATTTATTATGTATCGTAATATGTTATAGATATTTTATATGTATTAAACGTTTTCGCAAATCAAAAGTAACATACGGAGGGCAACCTTGAGTTAAACTAGTTTTTTTTCCTGGTTCAGCATCGCATCTAATTACGAACAATCGTACGGAAATATTATATTTTATCATTACAGAATGCGTTGCTATGGGTTCGACAAAAAATATACTATATGATGTATGCGACACATTCTTGGCGTCCGATGCTACAGAAACTACTATTTAATAATCAAAATCGCGATATACTTACGTAAGACACCGTAAATAACAATTAAGATGCTAAAACATCACACTTTAAAATTGATTTCAGCCAATGTACTATATTTTTTTTTACACTTAATTTAATATTTACAACACAACACTCTGAATTTTACAAATTTACTCGAAACCTTTTACACTTTACAAATTAAATTTTTAGTTCATATTTAAAATAATTGATTTTATTTAGCGAGAAACCCGCGAGAATGAAGCACCATTTTGAAAGATTGGAGAGAGATCGACAGATAGTCAAGGTTTTTCATATTGTCAGTCTTTACGTCATTGCGACATTCTGTTTCTTTTTTAAATAGACTAATCTGCGTTGGATTCCTATATTTGGCATTACTTGTATATAACAAAAAAATTTTTTTCAACGTTTTGGTCCATTTTAAAATATTTAATGAATTATTTATTTCTTAGTTAAAAAGCATAAGTATAATAACAAAAAGAAGAAAATCGTTCTCTGTAACGAAGCGAGTGGTATGTGTATAAATTATTTTGCTGTTTTATTCATTATTAAAGAAATGCAGAATGGAAAGAATTTATTTTCTGTTTACAATGTTGTAGATTACGTAAATGAGAAATAGGAAAGAGAAAACAAGGATAAGCACCATAAAATTAAAAAAAAACTAATACAACTTAATAAAATATCTTGTTTATTGTTTTTGGTCATATGTTTATTTTCTTATTTGTCTTACATAAACAAAGACTTCCTTAATTATGATAAATTACAAGAAACATGTACATTAAAATGAAACGGTATGCATTACAGTAACATGTGTTAAGTCAGGTATAAGCTTCAGTCCCGCCGCTATCATTGTCTTCTGTAATTCGCTGCCAAGTATCATGTTGCGGCTTAATACCATTCCAGCCGAGGAAGTAAGGGTAAGTCTTCCCCGTGGACAAATAAAAAACGCCATGCTTACACACATCTACGTTAGTACCCATAATATTAGTCACTAAAGGAAATTTACTATAACAGGATCCGTCTCGGGCATCTTGAATGTTGTCACATTTAATTCCGATAAATTTTCCAGGATTTCTCAATACTGCCAACCAAACAGTCAGAACTCTGAAATGACTACAGGTCGAAGTGCATGGGAAGAAATTTAAGTCAGTAGGTTGGTATTCTCCACCATTCAAGTAAAAGTCGACGTGACCCATCCGTGTCGCCATCCCGAAGCCGTCTATATTAGTGTGTACGACCTGGACGAAGTCTGCATCCTCAGCATCTAATCTATCTTTATGTCCTAGCGTCCTGAAGCACGGACCGGCCGGTTCTAACGCTGTGATCCTTGATATATTTCTTCCGATCATGTTTTGGTAGTTCTTAGCTATGTAGCCCACAGTTTGTCCTCCCAAGCTAAAACCCAGGAGTTCAGTCTTGGCAGGATCCAACCCTGCCTGGGTCAGCTGTACTAGTACCTCCGCGACATGTTTGCCGACGGGACGCATCAGGCGCGCTGCTCTGAAAATATAAATAAATCAATAGATATATTGTATATTTTATTTTTATATGATTACATTTTCCTAACCTGATAATCGAGTAGAAGTTTTATTTTTATAATACTAGATAATGTTTTAGAAATAAATGTGAGAAACCAAGTACTTTGAATAATCATGAGAGTAATTTCGTTCATATTAGGTAGAGTTGAAGGACTATCGCAATTATTATAAAAGTTATATAGAAAGTGAAAGAATTGTAATGATTGGAGATATAAGTAAGGGTGGTAGACATACACAGAGCAGACAGCCCTGGATCATATACTCGTACGTATATTCGAGATTCGGGATGAGATGTTTATTTTGAAATATGTATGTTGTTTTAGAGAATAATTATGGTCACTTTGAGGCCCATTAAATTGTTACTGATGATGAAATGGATATCAAATGCAGTTTAGTGAATTTGGGTGTGTGCGTGTATGTGAGTGTGAGAATATATGAGTGTGAATGTGTGAGTGTGCGTGTACTACTTACAGATAATAGTGGACGGTGGCGAACCTCTGGTTGTCTATTAATATAACATTATAGTCCAGGTCCTCGTATTGGTTCCCGAGCATGGAGGCGATGGGGAAGCTGGTGCTGTCCAGATATCCCAGAGCTATGAGGACCGTCCTCCTGGAAATATTACTTAATATGAATTATTTGACGCTATTAAAAGATACCAGGGTATCTGAAAAATAAAAGTTTTCTGTAGGAACTTACTTACATATTACTGTAACAATGTTAAATTAATAATCTGGCGAATTAAATAAAAAAAAATACAAAACTTCGACTCATATTAAAATTTGTATGTAAAAAATTGTTTCCTGATTGTAGTAAGTACAAGAATGGAACTACAAATGTAAAAGATATTTAAGTAGTAAGGTCTAACCTTCGGAAGTCTATCCTGGGATCATCCACCATGTCCTGGGCCTCCCAGTAGGTGTATTTCTGTCTTGATCGTCCTCTCCCCTGTACTACGAAGTACAGAAACTTCAATTGACTCCGAGGGATGTTGACGGGCTTAGTAGTATCAGGACCTGGAGAAAATATATACTAGAAGAAGATAGAACGAATACATAACGTCCATTAACAGTTTAAAAAACGATGTTAGAAAACATGGTACACGGTGGAAGGTGTTTTATGAGATTGGTTAGATGAAGCTGTTCTAAGTTCTAGCAACGTTGATAACTCCATTATTTGTAGGATTAGAGAAAACAGAATAAGGATTAAGCTGTATTAGTATGTCTCATACACTTTAGCAAGAAAAGGTGTTTTGTTCCCCTAAATGGTTACGGGCCACTGCTGTACTTAGATTAGATACTATTGGTGTTGAAAAATTAAAACTATAGGAGAACCATTATTACAAGACTATTACTTATAATAGTTTTCTATAAGTATAATCATTTATTATCGTTCAGATTTTATTTCAAGGAATTGTTATTTCTCATCGGGTGTGTCATAAAAGCATTAAATTTAGCAATTGAATTCTTCGACAATAGTATTAATAAACGTTTCTTATGTAGGTAGGTATGTTATTTTGATAACAATATACGGCAACACTTTATATCGCTATTAAATGAAAGAAACTATGCAACTCATTTCAATAATTCCAAGAAGGCTATTAATTTTCCATCACTTGTTAATTCCCCCTATCGATATTCTAAATATCCAAAATTAATTCTAGGATAAATAATTCAATTGAGATCTTCTCATTAATAAGGAACTTATCTTTATTTTCAACAACATGTAAGTTCACAGGTACGTGGTCATAATTGCAGTAAATCGTCGTTACCAAACTCAAACTGTTCACGCAACGTAATTGCGTATAATTTTCTTATTTTCTTGTTTACCTGTGTCGTGTACTGTACGAGTTACGAGCTCCCACCATAAAGACATACCAATTAAAGATTAAGAATGACGGAAGTTTTTGATATTTGGAACATTTTTTGTTTTTTTTCTCTTAAATATAAAATTTGCAGGTTTCTGAGTGATTGTCGGACAACACTGTTAAGTGTTTTACTGGTGTGTTGCTGATGGGGTCACGACCTTTGCTTTATGTACCAAACAAATTCATTAATATTTAATAAAACAAATTATATTTAAGTCAAGTGAAAGTACTTTTTGTATTTTAGTTTTGTTTCTCATACAATATTAGAGATCTGTTACACTTCACTAACTCAAGTTCTTAAATAATAATAAAATATATGTATTTTTCTTCTAAAACACCCTTTAGCTCGTATATATATGAGAAATTTAATTGTGCCTTGTTGAATGTTTACCATTTTAATTCAAAGCTTTAACGCGATGGAGGTTAGAAAAGAAAAATTCAAACTGATTTTTTTTAAGACAAACAAAGACTCAAAGATAGAAAGAATAATGAATAGTAAAATCTTCCACATACATACTGATAAAAATCCTCTAGGATACCCTTCCCCGGCTCTATCACTTGTCACAAACATGAACAGGCACACTCCTGAATATAAGTAAATATAAAACTTTACAGTCATTTTATTAATAATATTGTTTGTTAAACTAAAGCCTCATTCTGTCTTAAAGTGTCCATTGATAACTTATCGTCTGTTAAAGAACAATGACGATGTTACGTGGAGTATTTATTGAGGAGTCACACGTACAGCCGGCCGTTGACCTCGCAGCCTCGAAACGGTCAACTGTCATATTTTAAAAGGCGACTGTTCGTCCTGGGACACAGTTAGAAACTAAACAACAGTGTACGGTGTACGGTGTACGGTGTACGGTGTACGTAGTGTCACGTGGTGGTCTCGTAATAGATCAACGATGCCCGCAGATCAAAAGGTTCATCTAAGAAAGTATGAGACGTGGATGAAATTATGTCGAAATATGATCTACAAGCTACTCTTGTGTTCGTTCCATTACGTTATTGCATAAGTAATGTTATCATGGATCTTTATTATTATTTTAGGAAACATTTTTCGTGTGTTGTATCAATGTGATCTTGTTTTGTTCTGATAGAGGTATCCGACATGACGCGGTTCTAATTGCCAGTAAAAATAAAACTATAAGCATCAATCCCATGGTTTATTATGTTCCCAGTTTGTGTCCAGGGGCACGGGTCCCTGGCAGCCGTCACACGGTGTTTTTGTTCTACAGATCCCTCCCTTACATCGGTACTCTCCTTTCCTGGGATATTCCGGGGGTATGTCCACGGTGTATAATGGTTTGTGTAGTTGGTTCATCATGGCCTGTTCGAACGGCGAGTAGAAAGCATTTTTCGGCGCCGGAGCTATAAAGCTGATGCTCGACCCCAAGATTAACAGAAGAAGCTGAAAGAAAATGACATGGTTCGCAGGTTACATCAAATAACAGCTTATTTCTTTGTAATACTTGTACGTAAATATTAGTTTATAATACACTGTATCAATCAATAGGTTTTGAGAGAGAAGGCACTTGAGCAATAAAATGAAACGTCAATCCTAACTCTATCCTTAAAGCGGACGCAGATTGAACTATAATGAGTGATACGTATGAGAACAATACAAAATCCCACAGGATATACATACATATATACGTTGGCCTCCAGACTAGACATATTTATATATTCGTGGATTTTAAAACGCGTTGTGTGACTAGAGTTTAGGGTTCCTTGAGAAATTAATATAACCAACAACCACGCCATCAAGGTCAATAAGTATTAAGAGATGACTAACGAACTCACTATGAATAAATAAACTCACTGAGGTTTCTCGTAAATATGTATGTGTTTAAAGTGGGAGTGAAATGTACAACAGCCAAATATCTCTAAAACCTCCTAAAAGACTTACAGAACTAACATCAGTTCATTTTTGGAACGTACATCAACGGCAGCCCTAGTAGGTTTGTTTCAAATTTTGTTAGGTAGAGAGAGGAGCTTGGACAGTGGAGGGGAGTGTTGAACCCACACCTGGATCCTGGAGCCTATTAAACCTACACCTGGGTCAGAAATCCTAGGCTCTATTAAAACTCCTCTCCCTACAACGAAGGACCCGATAGCCGCACTGTGAATATATTGAAATTTCAATGCTAAGAAGCTTCGTCTTTGATAATATCTGAGATTTTCGCCAGTACACATTTAATCTGAAATTATGTTTTTCGTGCATACAAAGCGGTTTATTATTTTACATTTTCCCGTTCACTACTTTAGACTTTTATCTCGTCTGTTAGTGATCGAAGCTACTGTAAAGTAATTGAAACATAGTTTCATTTTACATATACTTAATTTACAAAACTATTCTGTGCTGTAACAAGTCATTAATATAGTTTTGTTTATGAAAATAGTCAATTAATACATAATCAATAATTTTCCTCAGCAGTCGGCCATTAATTACGACTGTTAGTTTTTATCGCGTTAACCTCGACACTTAGTTTAATATAATTAGATTTTATCAAATATAAAATAATTATATTATAGAATATTGTGATACACTAATACATTTATAACTCACCAAATACTGCATTTTCATCTTGTTTTAGTTGATGTTATTATTGATCTTCAGGACAGCTTTCGTGTTTGTTATTGTGAGAGGATCAGTATTTATAGTAAGCACGTTAATGATGTACCGCAATGTGCCAAATATGTTTAAAACGGGTTTGTTTTTAACTGTACTCGGAAGAAATGACGAGCTCGCATTGTTTGTGATGATGATTTATCAGATAAGAAAGGTTCACTCTGGTTAGTGAGATATAAAATACGTGGAAGCACTTTTAGCATTAAATTAATAATTAAACTAGAATAATCATTAAATTATATAAACATTACATATTATTCAAGTTACGATATTCCCATTGTCCTTAAATTTTCATGTCTCGGTATTAAACGTCTAAGTAGGTTAAGATTTACATGGTGACTAAACTTGTCACAATTAACATTATTTAATTGTGTTTAACAAACATTGTTTAAGGGAATTTTCCTTAAAACAGAATGGAAGCTATAGATCATCCTCAAGTTTTGAAGTATATAATGTACATATTACCATGTATATGTGTATAACAAAAACATATTTTAAGAAAGATATGAATTTTCAGAAATCGGTATGTTTGTAATGTCACATAAGAAATGGAATTGTAACGTAGGATTCATATTAAAAATATTTCAGTGAGATGTTTTTATTACATTTTTCTTATATATATGTATAATATAAATATTTACAGTTATTTCCATGTCATATACCTTATACGATTTTATATATAGAATACAATCACTTAAACCTTATTTTATATAAACTGTACAGACTGTTTTTATATCAATAAAAAAAAGCAAGGAAATATTATTTATTAAACAAATAAGGTTTGAAAATTACGTGTGTGGTTACAGCCGAGAATATACTTTTCTTTTTGTAATAGGTACAATATAAGAATATTTTCAATTTACATACATATATATGCTTTTTATATTGTTTTGTGTTTATCTATCCTATGTGAGGTACGAGGACCACGGCACCAGACGTGTTAAAAGGCGAGGGTGTTACAGAGTTGCAGAAATTATTTGTTTGTAGATCACATTTCTCACTTCTTACTTCTGGGTACGGGTCCTGGTTGAGGGTCGGAGCTGGCTGGTCTGCCAGGACACAGGCAGCGCAGGTGATCATTACAAGGAGTGTCACAGCCAACGTCATGGAAAGTTTACATGTAATACAGTAACATAAACTTCTCTCACTTTATATACTAGTTTGAACTAATTGATTGTGATGGAACTGAACTATATAAGTATGACACGGCTTGAAGATTGTTTTATTTATAAATTTATACTAGTGACTGGTCGCAGCGACGTCCGCTCTGTCGCCGCGTGTGTGTCTGATCTGATAACAGAGATGCTGTCATGATCATGAACATTAAATGAGATAACAGAGAATTGTTAATTTCACAAAATTTCTTTTAACGACGTATATTAAAATGTCACCTTTTGATTTTCGTATTTATTTTACGTGTAAACATAAATTATACAAACTCAAGTGAAACAATGTAACTATCGCACTGTTGTTGAATATGATAGATACACAGAATTAATTATAAAATATATTGAAAATATAAACTTACTTCAGCTATAGTATCTGTAACAAATAAAACTGCATTTTTAATGAAGTAATTAAATGGTTATTTCTGGGCTCGATACACATTTTTAATCTTTTTATCCACCAATCTATATATGTATTTATGCGCTGTTTCCAAGACTTGTGTTTGTCATATCTTCTAAAACCTAATTAATCTGAAGTTAAAGTCTGAATGGTTGAAGTTAGGCTTATAAATCCAGAGCCTTAATTACAAGCCAGGTTTGGGTAGTTCGTTTCTTGTGACCAGATGCAGAGTCCTATTGGAAAGTCCGCGGTTTTAAAAGTCACTCATCTAGTCTTCATAGTTTTTAACCACCCGGCCGCCCCGATCTTTTCTGATGTTTGATAGACGAAGTGTTATTGTACAAATTGTATTTTGTACAAACATACGACTGGAAACGAGCTCTTGAAGTGTCTGGAACGTTATCACTGTCGTCCTAGTTTCTTTAACACCCCTTCCCTTTGTAATTTCATAATGCACAAGATAAAATATGTGAAATGATGCAGAATCGATAGTAGTTTTAGCTACATATATACGAGTCAAAAATTCAATACATTGGAAGTTGAAGAAATTAATTTTTTTTTATGTAAACACTCTTTATTTCTAGGCCAGCTATATACACATATATATACTCATGTATACAGTTATATATTTAGGAGGAATAGTAAATAAAAAATCTATCAATAAAGTTCACTTCTTTTAATTAATAATAGTTTTCCTGTTATATCAACTGACTAAATTAAAATATTCGACATCTTGTGTATAAAATAATCCGATGATTACTATGTTTAAAGTATATATTTCAAAAATGATGACTAGCCAGATGACCGCAATCAAACTACCTTTAGTCCTGTTAAGTGTATGTACACTAAAATATATGTTTTAAATTGCTGTTTATTTTAGATTCTTTAGATAACACTTTTAGTGTACCGTCTGATCACTAGTAAGGTAAGTTAACGATTCACAAGATTGAATGGTTTATGAAGGACGTTAAAGAAAACTTATGAGTTCTGTGGGATGTGAAAAAAAAATGCAATTTTGAAAAAATCAGGATTTTCTTTAATAGTTGTCTTTAAAAAGTATTACTCACGGATCCGTCTTTCAGATTTTTATTTTTTTTATTGTATAAAATGTTTATTTTTTCATCTACATAGTTCTAGACTGTCATCCCAGCCGTGGGAGAGTGGCAATGTTGTCATAAGTAGTGCACATACTATCTCAGTAACAAAATATTCACCTCTTTATTTATTTATTTAATTTAATTTTAAACAAACACATACGCAGGTAAATTATTTGAATCATTTGCGGTGCGCATTAGCAAGGATGAAAGCGATTACTCTCTGATGATACGAGGAAGGTCTATCACGAGAGGATGGAAGCCCACCCTATTCCCGGTTGTTCGATGATAGAATTAAAGCGTGTAATTCTTACGTGTGCGTAAGAAAGTGTGATTGCTAGAGCTACACTCTGAATATATTGTATTTAAACAAGTTGTGGTCACCAGTAAACCTTTTTGTAGATCACTCCACTTAGAACAAGCCAGTGTGGTGACATCTGGCAGCGCCTGCCCTGATTTAACAGCAGTATTTTACTTACATGCTTTGTATGAACAAAGAAGCTGCTTTGAATTGAATTACTATCGCACTTGCATGCAAGGATGGTAGAGTATTTGAGGTCAGGGTGATCAGACTCCTCTTGGCGGTGAAAAGACATATTTTGGTTTTGTACCATGGACCATGTTCTCTTTTTCTAACTCTTATTAAACCTGACTGGTCCTGAGATTGGAATCATAAATCCCCCGTGTGCTGACCGTAACCAAAAACTATATACTACAACGGAATGTACTGAAACTGTCTTCGTATAATACGCACATTGTAAGATTAATTGCAAATAATTGAATAAAGTCTGTATACATTATGAAAATCCTAGATATTATTTTTCATTGTCATATAGGTACTAAACTAATTACTAATATTTCTCGGAGTTGCTATGAGTTTATATTTATTTTTAATAAATTTAATATTCCCGAAGTTTCGGTTACTTTTCAATAACCGTGATCACGAGCAGACGAGATGTTAGAGGATGTTGTTAAAAATGATTGTGAACGCGTGATATTAATGGGAAAACACATTACTTTTATTTCAATGAATCCTCGTGAAAGTCTTAGATCTCATTATCTAACTATATTTTTAAAAATATTATGTAATTTTTAAACTATTACTGATCTGATATTATATTTGTGTTTTTTTTTAAGTTATATTCGTAGTTCCGCAACATATTAAAAGAATAAAATGTAAATAATACTGTTAAAAGATATTCTGTTTTTATATAGAGCACATAGGACTCGTATCACCATGTAACTTATCGCTTGTAGTTCCAATTCTGGTGCAGTTCATTATATTCAGAGGTCACTATGAGGCGCGTTCTGTTACACAAACAGATCCAATGATAAATGAAGCCATTTAGTGATGTATCGCTACTGAATGGATCTGAACCACTGATTACTAGGACTAATGATAGTAACACAGTGTTAACATAACTACATACTGTACGTGTTCACGTATTAGTTAATGATATTAGTTACTTGTTTATTAAGTATTAATTGATATCATCTAACACACACGAAGTGAAGAAATGTAATGAAAAGTTATATATAATGAATGACCATTTATATGTATTATTATAAAATACAACGAATTGAATTTTGTTGTAAGAAGTTCTATTTATAGAAAGAAAATTGATTTCCGATGGAAGCGTTTGTATGATTTGTTTTTAATATTTTAAAATCAATTTTAAAAATACAAGTATAACGATTTATACGGTTCATATTATTTTAAATATACATCCATAATCAACAAAGTTTGCGATGGAACCATGATGTCAATAAAAATATAATTATTACATGTTAATATTACAAAACCAGGCTACATAACTTCAAGACAAGATGAGGAACTGCAGCAGAAACATTTAAAGGAATTTTGATTTTAAAGTATGAAAATACGTATTAATGTGGACATATTCTGTCTGTTCCCTGACACCTTACTCTTGGTTCTGTACCTTTTTCTCGTCTTTTTTATACGATCTTCCTCATTCTATAAAATTCTGTAACCTCTAAAAGTGACTCGAATAAAGTTATTTATATCTTTGAAAATGTTCGTCCAAAGTTATCTATATTTATTAACAATTGTCCCTGTCTTTTATAAGAATACGCGGGTTCAAATTTAAAACTATACGAGAATCAATTTTAAAATAATTTTAAATCAAATAAAATTTAAATCGATTATTTTGTGATATTAAAACTAACTTTGATATTATTTGAGAAAGTTCTGTACAAATTGATTTTCTATCAATCTGTTTGATAAATGACGTAATTGCATGGACCACCTGCATATATATACTGTGGCTCGTTGTATTCATACACAAAACGGAATATATTTGTTCCAGTAGTCATGTAATTATATCACATACTTTGTGAATTATAAAAAGTCTTTGTTAAGTAACTTATTTGTTTATTGATTCAATAATTTCAGGTTGTATATAAAGGTATCATTGTTCCTACTAGCGGTTGTGTGCGTGGTGGCCCAGCGACGTTACGTTCCTCCTCGAACGACGACTGTAGCTGACAATTTCCTGGAGGTGAGCAGCGTGAAGTGTGACGTCCTCAAGAACGACCACTGCGGCTCCCTGGACCCCAAACAACAGAAGTATTACGTGACCTTCCCGCCCCCCAAGAAACCAACCAGACCTCCGCCCAGACCCCGCGGAGGAAACGCCGGTTAAGATACTAACAACTATTACTGATAATAAAAACATACATTTGACATCCCTTGCTCAGTTCAGTTTGGTTTTAAACAAATGTAATTCATGTGAAAATAAATTCTAAATATATTCCGTATTTTGTCTCTGTTTTGAAAAAATAGTGATTCCTTAATATTGTTAAGTTAAGAGAACAATTTAAGTTCTTTTTAAAGTTCACATTACTAATATATACATGGTTATAGACAAAAGAAAACAGTATATATAACCTAAAGAAGAAAAGTACATACATACACAGCAGCTGTATAGAGCTATAGTGTTTATCATAATTATAATGTTGTACAACGTTATAAAACGGCAGATACAATGAAAACTGGGAAAGTCAAATCTATCCTACATTAAGATCAGGCATTAAATATAACAACGATTGTTATAGACATCCAATAAGACAAATCTTTATTAAAAATATGATGCCACGTTATCGTAAAAATACCGAAAATAGAATAATATTATAAAGCAATATAAATTAATATAATTTGTTACCAATGATGAAGTATATTTTTTCGACATTTTAGAGGTGGTGAAGCCTAGCTGTGGTTTAGTTACTACAGCTCGAACATGGGCTGGCTCTACCGGGGAAGTACCACCCTCTCACAGAAGATCAGCGTGAGATACCTTTTCGTCCGATGAGTGACAGAGCCGGTTGCCCTTTCCCTTCTCCCAACCTTTTATGCTTTTTTCTTGTTTTACCTTTTCCTCTCCCTCTCATACAACCAAGGTCGGCAACGTAACTACAACATTCATTATGTTGCAAATATCTATGGGCGACGGCTACTACTTTCCATCAGGTAGGCCGCATGCTCGTTTTTTATCTTTGAAATAAAAATAAAATTTTATTGCTCCTATATTCTAAAGACGGTTGCCAGGGAACTATGGTGGTAATTCACAACCTGGAACTTAAGCTTATAAAAATTCTCCTCCCATGAAGTTAAAAGAAAATATTATCTCCCCTGAAAAGCACACGCTACGGGCGTAATATCACACTTATTTTTCGCAAATTATCTTAATTTTGCTATAAATTTTATAGCACGGGCGACAATTACGAATGTCTTGTATCGACTTGCTTGTACCTGTGTACCTGTAATGTGAGAGATGAAGATTATTCAGTGTTTGGTTAGATTTTGAAACTATTGAAGTTAGATTCAACATCTGAATTAGCACTTGCGGGCTTAGTAACTGTGGCCATTTTTAAATAGGGACTTAATGATATAGTAGATGACTAGCTTAGGATCTACAAACACGTTATGGTTGTCTACATTAAGTATATATATCTATATATACTTAATAATAATTTCTTTAACCCGTAGTTTACATAAGTGGAGAGGCATTTACTAATTTGGACTGATTAAAATATAATCTTTAACTCAAATAGAGTCGTGGCTAAAAATATGTATTGTGTATTTGATAAAAAATAAATATAATGACGTATATGTAACATAATTATATTTTTGGTTCAGTTTTATTTTAATGAACAGTCTAATTCATTAAATCTGTTATCACTAGATTATGTTTCGTATAAATACAACATGTTAATGATCACATCTCACGTCGTTAATTCTTCTCAAAGCAGAATGTTTTCAATATATTTTATTTTATTGTTTCTTTTCATTCATACAGGCTGTGCTGCTGTCCTGGGTACGTATGGGTTTATTTTACATTTTAATAATATTCTGTTAAACTTTGACTGCACATTTCAATTCACAGTTAAAAATATTAATATTAAAAGTCATAAGATTGAAGGAAAATTGTTGATAGTGTATATACATATTTGTTTAATATATTGTGTTCGAATGTATTTAGAAAAGAAAAAAATATTCTTTTGGAAGAACCCTATAATGCTTTGTTAGGTTTAGAGTATTGTATTCAATAATTTTGGTCTTTCTAAGAATCAAATAACAATATTTTTAAAGATTCTTTTAACTCAATAGTCTTCAAATATTATGTCGTATTTGAACATGTTACAGAAAATATGACAAACGTTTTTAATGTTATTTCTGATCATACATTTTTAGGACAGTAAATATACCTATTTAGAAGAATATTTCATAAATATTTATATAAAAAATATTTCTTGTATTTTAATACAACTGTATGTTCCATCTTATGTTATTTATAAAAAGGACAATTGATTGAATATGATTTGTTTTTAAGATGAGGATGGGATCGTGTGGCCGAAGGAGTATCATTTAAAAGGTGAAATGACTTTCATGAGTATAGGACTCCAGGAGCCATTTGAAATATGGTAACTTCATTTAAAATATTTGATGATATTTAATAAGATAGCTATAATTAATATTAATTGAATAATGTACATGCTTTTTTAACAGGTACAGTGCTGTAGACAATAAGTCGAGGATTGATTATTACGACGGCACCGTGAAGAGATACTACGTCGGAGAAGAGGAGGATGAAGGGGAGGAATATAATGTAAGGGAGAAAACTGAATAAATATTGGAATTATTAGATACCCGCTTAGATAAAGAAAGGCCTAAATATTAGTTCGTCTGACGGGTTGTTTTCGATCGTTTTTTAAATAATATTAGATTTCCATCTAAAACTGAATGAATTTAGAAACGAAATAGCTCAATCAAAACTAACGGTTACCCATTTTAACACAAAAATATATAAATTGGGAGTCAAATAAATCACCTTTGATCCCCTTCTGAAAAATATAAAATCCCATGTCCGTGACCACACCGCAGGACCTCGAGACATTGTGAGCTCATTCTGCCGGCATCCAGGGCGGTACGCAAGAAAATTAAAAAATCGATGGCGGTAGTTGATAAAATAACAAGACCGACTGACAGACACTCACATCTCATCTACCCGTGATCATGGTTGATGTAAAGTAACCGAAACGTCGGGAGAATGTAGTTTATAATCAAAAATGAAATATCGCGTAGTAAATCCGAAAATATTAGTTTCATGTAATATTAGAGTAACAATGGTATTGTTATTAAATTAAAGATACAAATGCAATGTAAGTGTAATGCTCTATATTTTTAAATAATATTTAAAAATGCTTCTTTTTACATTTTTTCATTAAATAATATATTTTCACCTTTTATTCAGATATTTCCTGTGTTCATTGAGAAGGAGATGACAGTGATGTGTGTTAAACAACCGTCAGATGGAGGTGTCACGGACTTCTTAATAGATCCTAGTAACTTTACATATTCAGGTAATATAAGAATATTATATATATATATATATTATGGATAAAAAACTGTAGGGTTAATTTAAGAAACATAAAGCGTTAAAGTTCTGCTTCTAAACTGAAGGGTAGGTATGTACGTAAAAGTTTTTTTAATGTGACGTACTTAACTCTAATTAAGTGAGTGTTTAATCTTCTGAGCATTTATAATTAATAATATAGAAGAATTAAAAAGCAAGGAAAGAACTGCTTTTCGTGTTTTTATTTAATAATAAACTGTTTTTTGTAGACACGACATCATATAATGGAAAAACGGTTCAGGTGTGGAAGAATGTTGAAATAGAATTAAACAAAGAGAAAGTAGAACAAGTGTTGTATGTGTACAAACAAGATGGAGTTCATATACCGATAAGGTAACATATAATTTAAAGAATTCTACTGCTTTCAGGCATTAGGTCTAAGCACATCTGTACCAGTCTAGCTATAGTCCCAACTTGACGATGGTGGCTGACCACGGACTTTAAACTTTAGTCCAAAGTTACTTCTCGTTCCTTTATATTAAATTAAAGAAATTAACGTAAATATATATTGTAACTGTAAAATAATAACTAATTACATTCAAAACAGTAAAAAAAATTCAAGTCAAGTGTGAAACTAGTGATCATGATTGTAAGTTGCTGGTGTTAAGTGTTACCGCTTCAATAATAGTCTTAACGCAATGAAATTATAAAGATGTATATATTTTTCAGAGTTGAAGAAATCAAACATAATCTATGGACTGGTGCTCTAGAGGGACACAAGATAACCACTTACTACGACTACTCGAAACCTACGGAGAGTGACTTCAATGTAGAATTAGGTGAAGACGACATATTAATAAAATATATACAGGAGTCCAATATGTACTACTCAAGATATTAAAAGATATAACCCGATAACGAGGAGATTATCCCTACCAATATTATAAATGCGAAAGTAACTCTGTCTGTCTGTCTGTTTCACTTTCACGCATAAACCATTGAACTGATTTTAATGAAATTTAGTATAGAGATAGAGTTGACCTTGAGAAAGAACATAGGATAGGTTTTATCCCAGACTTTTGAAAGGTTCTCTGCGAAACGCGATATAACCGAACCCCACGCGAGGGAAGCTGCGGGCAGAAAGTTAGTATTTTATAAATGAATTATAATAAGAGGAATTCTGTTTCAGTGTCTGAATGTGAAGACGCCTCCGACTTCTATAACGACCTGAAACTACTACATCCAATGATACCCTCGGATGTGGACAGACTTTATCACAGGTTTATATACACACTACACACGATTGTGGTATATTTTTTACCTTTATTAATTCTTCAAACATTAAATTGTTTTCAGTTACAAAAAACATCACAACAGAAACTACAAAGCTGAAGAGCATGAACTGCGAAAATCAATATTAGAACAAAACTGGCAGTAAGTTAAATATATTATATTTATATTACTAGTTAAGTTTGCTTCATATTTAATTACATTCATTTCATTTAAATAATTCTTTCATTCATTTTCAACATTGTGCGTTGAAATAGAAACGAGATGCAGTAATTTTGGAGACTTCTGAACACAAGACTAATATTATACACTTGATATATATATACATATATGTTTACCAAGCTACACAATATTTTTATATACATTTCCAAATTGTTTTTAATCCGGTTTTTATTCACATTTCCACTAATAGCTATATTTTTCCGATAACGATTCCACATGTAATGTTTTAGACGCGTCATCCTTCATAACAAAAAAAACTTAGGCTTCAAGTTGACTCTCAACAAATATTCTGATCGTACTAATGAAGAGCTATCCGTCCTGACTGGCACGAGACCCTCGTCTGGTACAGGCTCCGTCTCCTTCCCTCACACCGATGAGGAAGTGGAACAGATGGTGTTGGATCTTCCTGAGAACTATGATATGAGGCTTGAAGGAACCATTAGTGCTGTCAAGAGTAAGTGCTATTTTTTTCGCATCTAGTACGAGCTTTTGCTCAAGGGTTCGTTTAGCAAAATGGCTTGTTAATTCATGGTAACCTTTTATTTCTAAATTGGTATATTTTTTTCTGCATGAGAGAAAAATATTAAAGATATTGGCTATCTGCCATTGATAATGACAATCAATTATTATTATTTGAGATAATGATATTAAACTATGTCGATCTACAAGCTTCTCAGCTTTGAAGTAAAATTAATTCTGTTCAGAAATTAAAAAAAAAGCTACAAAGTATTGATTGGTCACTGGAGAAAACAACTTCATTATTAAAACCACAGACAGCCTACATGGTTATAATCATTATTTATAATGCGAGAAAGAGCTTTCACTAAAAATAAAAATCAATTTGTTCAGTGTTGATAGTCGTTGATGGCATGTGTTTCCAGATCAGGGTCACTGTGGCTCCTGCTGGACCTTCTCCACCACAGCCGCGGTGGAGGGAGCGCTGGCCAGGAAGAACGGAGGCAGAGACCTGGACCTCAGCGAACAGTCTATAGTGGACTGTGCCTGGGGGTGAGCATTAAAAACTTTACATTACAGTCAGCTGATATGATTCACTATCTGTTCCAAGACAGTTTGAGAAGTTTAGCAGTACGAATAAAAAGTAATGAGAAATAAAGTTGCTTGTATGATAATTTTCTTGCATCATAAGATGTGATTTACAAATCTATGTTGTATACTTGCATTGTTTTTGTCTTTAGATGTTAAGGGGTTTTCATAACTTTTAAGAGTTTTAGAGATAAGCTTTAGGGATATTAATTAATAATATTATTCTAAAGCGTTTCCTGTAAACCTTGTATCATCATGTTGTCAGATATCACAACGCCGGCTGTGACGGAGGTATGATAGACACGGCCTTCAAGTACATCCTGGACTACGGCATCCCCACACAGATAGAATATGGAGATTACCTTGGAGAGGTGAGTAGAAAAAAATATCTATCCTACCTTCTTCATATGATAAGAGGTCTTTACTCAGCAGTGGGCTTATAGATCGATGCCGAAGGCTATGGAATTAAAACCTATCCTTCATAATTATCCCAGATTCTTGATTGCGGGAAATTAGTATATTACTATGTTTGCTTTTTAAATATTTCCTTTTCATATGTTTATGAAGTAACTACAACGTTGTTTCTCTATGTATTCTCTCAGGATGGTTACTGTCACATCGAGAACGTCACTAACGTCTACAACATCATCGGGTTCGTCCAAGTCCCCTCTAAGAGTGTGAACGCTATGAAGGTAGCTCTGTACAAGTACGGTCCGGTGTCAGTGGCTATTAATGCGGACAAGATGTTACTGGCGTATGAAAGTGGAGTCTTCTTCGACCCTGAGTGGTAGGTGCTGCAGTTTATTATTAACATGTATATTATAGAGAATAAGCATTATAATTATTTAAATACATAAGACATTTCATCGTTCTAGAACATCATTCAGAACGCGTAAATTGACAGGCAATCTCTAAGTCGTCATCGTAGTTAATACATAAATGTGCATCACAGCTATTTTGTTAACATTCACTTTATTTATTATCTTTAACATTCAATCAGCTAATATTAAACTTTGAAGTTTACATAATGAGATCTAAGATTTTCGCGAGTACACATTTAAATGAAACTAATATTTTCGGATTTTACTTCGCGTTTTATTTTAGAAACTTTGAAGTTTATTTTGGGTAAAACTATAAGAAGTATTTGATAGAAACAATTTACTTTCTTTGTGAATGATTTTTTCTATAGATAAAATTAATATAATTTACAATTTTAGCCGAGGAAAATAATATGAATTTACTAAAATCGGTTTAATTGATACTTAGTATAACTTTGTTTATACAGTAAATGATATTATATAATGTGTTTCTATGTCCACAGTAATGAGGAGGGTATCAACCACGCGGTGACGGTGGTGGGGTACGGTGTTCGAGACGGAGCCACCTACTGGATCGTGAAGAACTCCTGGGGAGAGGACTGGGGCCAGGACGGATACCTGCTCATCTCCGCCACTGACAATAACTGTCACATACTAGAATACGCGTACTATCCACTAGTCTGATCATGTACTTACCAACAAAAATACCCTTTAAGATAAGACGAGCTATTGAAAAACGGAATTGATATTAGATTTAGAATTTTGTAAATAGCGTAAATAAATTCCTAACGTGCTTTCTGATAATTTGTTTTATTTTACAAGTGAAGTTTATTACTTTATTAGGTGTTTTAATTGGTCCGTTACATAACTGTTTCCTGAATTAAGATTAGTAACTCTTTATGTAATGTGCTGTAAACAAAATAAGAGATTATCTATTTATAATATTAATTATTAAGCACGACCTCAAGTTCATGGCTGGTCAGAGCTTAAAGGGAAAATACAGAACATGAGTTTTGTATTTGTTAAGAAGCATTTGTTTATTTACTTTGTATAGAAAATTTTATCAAGAAATAAAATAGTTTTAGATAAATAGATACATACTAAGAAATAATTCATGTTATATAAACATATTTATATTTTATACATAATAATTACGTTACATAATAATTACAATTTAAATTATTTACAGTAATTACTTATTAACAAAATAGTACTTTAATTTTCGAGCATATTATGGATGGATCGCTACAACTTTTAAGTATGTAAATGAATACCTGTTCTTCTTAGAATAAATATCTTAGGATTATTTGTTAACAAACTTCATTATATAATAAGAATCATCAAAATCGGTTTATATGATTATAACATTTACTTTAATTGGAAATAATTTCATTAGGACTGTATATTGTTATTCGTCAGATTTATTTTTAATTTTTTATAAATAGCGCCATCTATCGGCATTTCCACGAACCCAGTATTTCCGTGACTTACGACAAAGAGAAAGTTGTCATAAAATGATTCCGTATCATACCACTTAAAGTATCAATTTATAGAAAGATTGTATCTTCCTCGTATTATTATATAAGATTATATTATAACTGTAGCTATATATGTACATATACAACAAGAAACAGTAATAACCCATCGTGCGGCGGATTACACTTGAAGGTATTATTTTAATGTAAATAATTGAACACACAATGAGAGGAGAACAATTTATCAATGTCATTACTTCACCAGAGGCTGTGTCGCGAAATGTTGAGGAGCTTTTAAAACTTGAGGCTGTAGTTTGTATTTAAAGATACATTCATACAACCTTACGGCTTGTTTGTGTAAGTCATTAAGAAAAGTTTCAGATTGTTGAAAGTTTGTTTGTGAAATTATATTTAGGTTTGTTACCACTCGCTGGATTCTGTTTTTTAAAGAAAGATGATTCTCATCAATCATACGATATTAAATTTAGCCATTTTAAAACCTTCTTTATTTTCCCACATATTAATACATATTTCATTACTATATTTTTCTCATCTGTGTACAGTCCGGAGCCACAGTGTACTCGACTGTGGTCACCCCTCACCCCTCACCCGTCAGCCGTCACCCCTCACCCTCCGAGGGCTGTTCGTCGCTCAATCCGTGTCCCGCTCGCCGTCTCGTAGGACGTGCGTCATGTTCCAATGATCTGTGCCAGTGGTTGGTCGAAAATGTCCAATTATCATCAGCTATTGGCCGTTATATTCGCTGTCAACCTCGTCATTGGTGAGTTTATTGATTTTCATTAAAATTCAAACGATCCATCCTGAAGTTTTAGTCTGTGATGACAGTTGGATGGCTTATTATAGTTTTTTTAAGAGATTTAGGTCAATGATTTTGATTATTGTTATTGTGTTTTATGATTATTAATTAATGCAAATTTAATTTCGTCACACTTTATAATTATATCCGATTATTACGAGTATATATAAAGGTAATAAACGTCAAGACAGAATAAGATGTAGACATTTTACTGTAGCCTGAAACTTAAATATTATACTTAGCGGAAAATTCAAAGTCTGTCTAACTTGTGAATAAGACGTCACACAAAGGAGTTGTGTTGCGGGTAGTTTAATATTAGTTTATTATGATAACTTTGTCAGCAGACGTGGAATTCCGCAGATCAAAAATTGGAATCTCCTTGCTTTCCACAAAATATCTAAATATAATATTAGGCTAATTCAATTCATTTATTTTTTCAAATAATACTATCAACTCGAATTTCACCATATTGTAAAGTTTTTTTTAACAGTCTTTTCGACTGAGAGAGTATATATTTTTTCTTAAATCTTAACTAAAATAAACGTAAAAAATAAAAGTACGAAAAAGAAAATGTATGACTTAAACACGAAATAGTATTAGAAAGTTAATTAGTAAAGAACGCGAACATTCTTATACTTAAAAAAATATATCACGTGTATAAAAAAGAATATTGTTTCACTTTTTATATGTTTTATTACAAAAAATATTGAATTACTGAGCACGCATCATGAAAATATAATTTCATTATTTAAATGTAGGGTTATGTCTTATAATAGCTAATATTTGTCATCGGTGTGTGTGTGTGTGTGTGTGTGTGTGTGTGTGTGTGTGTGTGTGTGTGTGTGTGTGCATGTGTGTGTGTGTGTGTATGTATGTCTGTACCGCAGCGGTCTGCGTGTTTCATATTTCCTAGTTAGTTTATTGTCTGCGGAAGACCGTACACATCCGACATCACAGTTTTCACTCCTCCTCATAACAATATATATTAATATGATACACTTATTATATATTAACTTCATTATGACTTGTATACAACTAGTAATTAGATTTACACGTCTCTTTGCATCCTCTGTGATACATTAATTTCTACTTTTATCTTGGTATCTATATACTTAAATTACATTGATAAAGAAAATAAAATATATATTTTAAGCATTACTATTTTATATTATTCTTGCTGTAATAATTTAATAGATGAAGGTTTGACGAGTTTCTTTTAATTAATAAATATGTTTGTATGTCATTCTTCATGTTGCTCTCATATGTCTGTCATCATCAAAACCAGACGAAATTTTCCGTATTAGTAGAATTAATATAACATAATACAAAATGAGATTATATTTAGGTACCGGGAGACGATTCCAATATACAAATTTAATGAATCCCAGAGCAAACGGCAAGTTTAATCTCAAACATAGTTTAGCGCAGTTAAATGTAATTAGTTCCTGAACTCCGGACAATTGGAAATGATTAAAATCTACCGAAACGTAAATGGAATCGACAGCAGTCGTTACAGAACTAAACTCAACGAGAAGCATTATAACTTAGGACTGTACACTGAACATATACGAGTACGAGCATAGCCTCTCACACATACAACGGACTCGGGTTAGACTTTATGTTTTATTTAGATGTGGATTGAATATATTGTTTAGGTTTAATAACAGTTTTGTATAAATATTGAACATGTATTACAACTTTTGACTTTAAATACTACACGATTGTACTCACTACAGTTTTTTGATAAAATTTCGAAGACATCGTAAAACGTTTGGTTTGACAGCAATGTTAGTGAATCGTATTTAGTTCAAGTTATAAGAAACAGTGATAATGAAAAGCGTTTTATATAGTTGATATACTGATGAATTAATACGAGACCTTTGCCTGATCTGGGAAATAAATTTAAATGAACCTAAAATGTCGGATAGTTAGATTAGATAGATTTCGGATCATGGACAGACGAGATGTGAATGTCTCACAAATATTAGTTTCATTTAAATGAATAAAACTCGCTAAAGCATTAGATCTTAATGTGGGAAATAAATTTTATATTACAAGTGTGAGATTCAGCCACAGTTGAGATATAAATAGCTCGGGATTTATTCATTAACATATAACGGCTGTGGGTCGTAACGTGTTACATTTATTAATGCAGCTGTGTTCACACGTCACTTGACCTCACCTAAAGTCGGTAATGAAGTAAAAGCCTCCCCCCTCCTCCCTCCTCACCTCACCACAACACCACCTCACCCCGGCACCTCCTGACCTCCCGAAACATGAACTACTTACGGTATTTCAGAGACAATGTGTGATCACATCAGATCTAAGATCAATATAGAGAACGAAACAAACATATGGAAACTATCTTTGTATATGTAAACTAGTTTAAACTATATGAATTATAATAAATACATCCCTGAACAGACAGGGGAGCTCTAGTTTCTATATCAATTGAAATTATATTATTACAGTAATGCGAATAGTTTCATAATGAACACAAGGGTTACCTTCACCCAGTAAACTGTGTTGTGGTAGAGGACGAGACGATGAAAGGAAATAACCTTAGTATTTGAGAATTTGGAAATAAAATACTGATTTCATAATTAAAACTTATCGTTTGGTCTCATTCGGTGTGATAGAAGTTAAGGTTTGTTCTGTTCTATTCTGGTCACCCGTTTCCCGTCTATTTTTCACGGGTTGCTAACTACCGTGTTTGTTTTGGTCTAATAAGAAGTCTTATATTTTTAAATGTAATAAGTACTAGACTCAATACAAATGTATTATTATTGACCACTGGTATAAAGATGTTAACTGTCGAGATGAAACAAGCAAATTAAAATACATATTTATAATTTTTTATTATTAGAAATCCTTTTTAATATTATTAAAGTAACATTTTTTTTTCTTATTCTTCTTATATATTAAGAGAAGGTGATATCTTTAAAGGGTTCATCTGACCTTCGCACCCTGAAATAACGTCTTCAGTAAGTCCAGGTCACATTGTTTGCGGTCCATCAGGTGACCCGAATATTAAGAGATCGTCCTCAAAGCCGGCCCAGACATCCTCCGAACGGATTTAATATTTATTTTGTAATAGGTTTTTCTCTTAGCTTTGCATATTCCTTACGGCTTACAAAAATATTAAGAGATCGGATTTTCCTTTGTCTTGTATTTATTGATGGAATGTAGACGAAATATACATAAGTGGTTTATCTTTGAGTAACTTAGAGTATGAATATGTCGTTTATGTGTCTTAAAGAATCTTCTTTTGTGGATGAAACTTTCCAGTTACCTTTTACAGTATTGAAAAATGTTCTCAAGGTCCATACATTAATGTTGATGATGTACAATACATTAATGTGACTCATTTTAAACATGAAGTCAGTAATAGTCAGATTATATTTTAATATAACCTTTTACTTAAGCAGCTTTTCTTTTCTTCTAGTAATCTCAGTGACATTTTAGTTTGGTCATATAAGTCCGGACTACGATATCTGTTCGCTCAATTGTATTGACATTAAAATACTTACTGAACGTTACTAAAATGTTAAAAATGAAATATTCTTTACATAAATATTAATTTCTTTTATTAAACGTATAAATATTCATTATTGTCTTTTGCTCTGTTTTTTTTTTGTGTCTGGAATTAATGGATATAATGCGGGGCAGTAGCCAATATTTTTGTTTGTCTTTCTTTATGTCTAGAAAAAACTATAATAAATAATATATACATCAGTTTATATAATATTTTCTTTAAAAAATATGATAATGGAATTTTTTATATGTTTATGATATAAACTAAGCTGTCAGTAATGATTCGACCACAGTCAGTTGGTTCATCTAAACTCACAAACTCCATCTAAGATCAAGAGTTTTTCGCGTAACAATATAATGTACTTGTTCATTTACATCCTATCATTCTAAACGGATAGATTTTATTCCATGTTAATACAACACTAGTAGTTTTACTCTGTGTTTCTCGCATGGTCACTGTTAATACTTTATTGTCATTGAAAGGTCCTGAAAATCAATAAGCTTTTCATTTTCTAATAAAATATTGATAAGCTTTCTTTTCATTACTCTAAACCTCAGCGATCCCTTTCTAATTTTACGTTTAAACTCTGAGAGCATTTCCAATATTTTATATATTTTTATAAATACAATTTAATGAAAGCCTGCTATCACCGATGGTACGAGTTGATACAATGTGAGTGTCGATTTTAATATTATATTCCATATTCCACTTGACCAGTTGACCAGAGACCGTTTATCATCACACGACGATTATTTCCCGGATATAAACTCCTTTATTACAACCGGTTATAAATGACTACATCACAAATATTCCGTGTCGCGTGAATAGCTCGCTCATATTATAATAAGTGTCAAATATATTATGAATATTATCATAATTATATAATAAATGTACTCTGAATATTTGTATTTATATGAGGCGACACGAAGTAATACTTTCAATGTATTTAAGATCGGAACTTTGGAGTCAAATCTCCTCGTATAATAAATAATTATTTAATGAAATATATTTATAATATTTATTAAAGTCATAATCAACTATTATTAACCAGTCTGTCAAATAAATGCTTACCAAATATTTTGTATATTTACCTTTATCTTCTCTTGTTCAGAATATTCGCCTTAAGATCTCGGTCACAATAACTACGATATCTTTAATCTAATAATCTTCGGATATACTACGGGTATTTCATTATTGTAACTACATACTCCCGACGTTTCGGTTTCTTTTAAGCAATCGTGATTTCGAACAGAAGAGATGTGAATGATTTAACATCTCATTTGATACCTATTTTTTTAACCAGTCAAAGCGAAGTCTGTTCATCACAGAGCTTTCAAAAAATATTTTTAATGTTAAAATACAAATTTAAATCTTGTAAAAATGTTCAAGTTCGTTTTAGTTATATTATTTTTAACGTTATAAAGGTATA